GTGGGCAATTGTTTTTTCTTCATTTACCCTAGTGTGCGACGCAACCTTTCAAAGGGATGGGCAGCCGAAGATACTTTAAGAAGGCAGGGGTGCACGCACGAAGCTCCTTGCCACAGTCCCTCACGGTAGACTGCAGCATCCGTATCCGAGTCTCAAGGCTCCTCACAGTATGAACCCTTCACCAAGCCTTGCATCTGCATATGCTTGGCCAGCCCCGCCCCGATGGCGGGATGCGAGCTCGCCGGGTCCTCTTTTGACTGGCGTGTTGGTTGGGGTGTTGCAGGGTGTTGCAGTGCAGCGGAAATTTTGGGCGTTGGCACCTCGCCCCTTGTTCAGGTTCCCTTTAGGGTGATTTCTGGGATCTTTAGGCTCTCGGGTCCGAGTTTGGAGAAGTGGGGCTTCAACGGTCTTCTTCTGGCTCACGGTGAATGGGCAGTACCCCTCGGTAGTTCTAGTATGGCAGCACACCTTCGAACCCTGAGCGAGACGTGGTGCGGGGAAATAGTTGCTCTCTTGTGTCTCGGGCTGGTCCATACGGTCCCTAAACCCGAAACCCTAAACCCTAAACCCTAAACCCTAAACCCTGAACCCTGAACCCTGAACCCTGAACCCTGAACCCTGAACCCTGAACCCTAAACCCTAAACGAATGGCAGCTTACGGCCGCTGCTTGTGACTTGTGTCTTTGCTTTTGCTCCGTGGATGTGCTTGTTCCCGACAGGAAGGGAATCTCCTTTCCTCTTCTGCTCCTCTTCCCTTGCCTTTTCGGGCATTGCGGGGAAGAGGAGGGGAAGAGGAAGGCAAGAGCAAACGTCTTATCTTGCAAAACGCATGATTTTTTGGGTATAGCGCGGTGGAAGTTTCTTGGTTCCGCAAGGACAAAGAGAGAGAAAGAGACAGCTCACACTATACCTGGTTTATTGGTCCATGCCACATAGGCCCTTGTTTTAGAAACAACCGACCTCGGACTCCGTAGACCACCAAGCTTCATGCAACCCAGCTTCACCACAGTTTACGTCCTAGACCTTTTTCTCAGAAACCCCCCTTGCAAGCAGTCAGGCTCGCGAAGTCCTCTGCGTATGAGGTGAGAGGCTCTGCGTATGAGGCGGTTTGGAGGAGACGTAGGTCTGTGTAGGCAGAACCCTCAGGAACAGAGTTCCTGTGCTAAGTCGTAAGAGCGTTTACCCTCAAGGCATCGGAGCGCTTAGAGAGCCTAGTATTTCTCAGCTTGCGTAGACGCGATTGGCAAGCGCTGGTGCTCGGATGTACTCGGACCCACATGTTCTGGTTTTCGCGTGAGTTTGCAGCACCCGTGATCACAGTGATGATATACTGATCCCAGCAATATGAGCTCCATGCTTCACGAACGCTCACATGGTCCCAAGGTTGAAAAACAGAAGCAAGCCGACGTTCGAGTATTCAGGTTGCGCAATTAATGTGAATATCAAGCTGGGCCCCCGCGACCATGCGGGCTCTGGACCACTTCGTTTCCGCAGGGGGGGAGAGGTTCTGTTCATGACTACAGCAGTGTTTTTTTGCCTCGCGTGTGAAGCACACAACCCTAACCACTAACCCGTGACACCGTTAAAGCAGTATACTCATAGGATGTGGAGTTCGAGCATCACGCACAATCAGAGCACGGGGCTGAGTGGTCTGGAGACGTCTTGCACATGCCCGACAGCAGCCGCTTTTGCGTGAGCCGGCTGTGAAAAGGGCAGTCTGCATCGACGAAGTAGACCTGCCAGTCCAGGCAACGTTTAGTTGCTTCCCCAAAGTTTCGCTGAAGTCCCTCAGTCTGACTTTTTGCGAGGCTTGTAAGGCGTGTACCTTGGCCGGCTAGACTTGTGACTGTTGATGTCTGATGCTGCCCATACCTGGGAAGATATAGCTGCGCCAGGCAGCTCCCAAACCCCTGATCTGATGCTGCTTGGCTCCAGCTTGGCAGACTTGAGAACATGATGATTCTCGGATATCAAGGCATCCCCTCCCGCCCCCAGCCAGCCCCCCAACTTCCATGGCTTCCTCCGATGGGGTGTGTAGCGATAGCTCTGCCTCCTCCATCCCCCAAGCAGCTGCAACTCCAATCAAAGCCGTCCTGAAGCTCTGGAAACCCACACAGCCATTGCTGAAGTTGATGGCCGGCCCTAAGCAGTAGCAGTGCTTGAGACCGACCCCAGTGGTTCTAGGCCCAGTTGCAGTATCCGGGTGGCCGCGCGAAGCATGGCGGCGGCAGTGGTGGGCGTGGTCTGCAAGCTTGGGTTTAAGGAGTTCAGGGCACGGCTCTCATGCCAGAATCTCTGCTGACACTGGTTATACTAGTAGCTTGGGCAGCTGCAGCACATTTTGGCTTCTTGCATGACCAACGACCGCTATCAGCACAAATGTCGCGAAACATGTTGCTCCAAGCTCATTGCAACGACAACTGGGCAAAGGGATCTGTGCTGCACAGGGCTACGAACTCAGACCGGCCCTGAATGGCTGATAGCGGCAAAAAGAGGAATCTTTGAAACCTAGAGTCGCGGATGGTTCAGGGAGCATGTTTTGCCTCGAGAATCCTTTTAGAGTAGGAATAGTGACTGTTACTAATAGTATTCCCTTATTGTCCCTTTTTATTATTGTACTAGAATTTCCCCCCCCCCTCCAAAACCCTGTTCTAGTTGTTAAGGCCCCCTAAACCCTAAACCCTAAACCCTAAACCCTAAACCCTAAACCCTAAACCCTAAACCCTAAACCCTAAACCCTAAACCCTAAACCCTAAACCCTAAACCCTAAACCCTAAACCCTGTAGTACCCGAACCCGGGGGCCTGTTCCCTTAGGTGGACGTGCACGCTGAGGGCCTCCGGCAGCTCGAGCGAGCGGAGCGGCTGGTGGAGGCCTGGGGGTTGAGGAGGGAGGAGGGTTTAGGGTTTAGGTTTAGGGTTTAGGGGGGTTGAGGAGGGTTGAGGAGGGTTGAGGAGGGTTGAGGAGGGTTGAGGAGGGTTGAGGAGGGTTGAGGAGGGTTGAGGAGGGTTGAGGAGGGTTTAGGTTTCAGAGGGCTCCATCAGTTCTTGAGAATGTTGCGGTTGCTTGGGGAGTTTAGCGGGGTGTTGAGGGTTGTGGGGTCGTAGTTCGATAAATTCGCCAACGCATGCATTACACGGTACTGCTTTTGTGCATCACCTCTAAATTGATCAGAATATGGTGTTGGGCAGATCCGTCGTTAAACGTTGTTATGGAACATTCAATAAGAGTTTGACATGTCGAAAGCAATTTTAGGCGGATTTCGAGGTTCAGTTAATGGAAAAGCAATCGCAAAAACGACAACAAAGTCGCAATCTATCAGCTTGTCCCCACTCCAGAAGTATAAAAAAGAATGACTGCCCTGATCTTTGCAATTGTGACAATCGTACTCGCCAACATGGATCGATGAGTCGGCTGGACGTTTTTCTTTTCAGTATTTTTGTGGTATATTTTCATATTTCTATGAATTGTGTGGTCTAGGTTTAACCAAACTAAGCCTCTTCAATCATTAAGCCAATCCGGCCCTGATTCACAGAGCAAAGACAACAAGACACAAACAGTTCCACCCTAAACACTAAACCCTGAACCCTAAGCCCTAAACCGTAAGCCCTAAACCCTAAACCCTAAACCCTAAACCCTTAACCCTAACCCTAAACCCTAAACCCTGAACCCTGAACCCTAAACCCTAAACCCGAAAGCCGAAAGCCTAAAGCTAAACCCTAAGCCCTAAGCCCTAAGCCCGAAGCCCTAAATCCTAGTCCCTAAACCCTAAACCCTAAACCCCTAAATCTAGGTGGGCTCCAGCGGTCCCCGGCACCTGGGGCGATGCAGGGGTTTGGGGAGTTCAGTGTCTGTTGGGTTTAGGGTTTAGGGTTTAAGGTTTAGGGGTGTAAGGTTTAGGGTTTAGGGGTTAGGGCTTTTCGGGTTTAGGGCTAGGGTTTGGGGTTTAAGGGTTAAGGGTTTGAGGTTTAGGGTTTCGGGTGCCGGCCGCAGAACAGGTGCCCTGTCCCCGTACGGGTGAAGCATGGACGTTTAGGGCATTGGGATGGTCAAGGATGTAGGGCGCAGGGTAGTCTATGACAGAGTCTATGCGTGTCGCAGGAGCGGGAAACTCCAGGTGCAGGGCTTTGGGTGTTGTCCCAACATCAGAAATATGGCGATCAAGGAGGCAAAGAAACAGCAAACATAAGCTGTTTGAGACCTCTGGGTCTGCCCTAGGCCCATTACCAATGTCCAGAAATACATTTCAGAAGATTTGAGCACCTCGGCCCTCTCCAAACCATTCGCAAGGCAGGAATGGTTAGGAAGGTGTGGGGTTTAGGGTTTAGGTTTAAGGTTTAGGTTTGATTTCGGGTTTAGGGATAAGGGTTTAGGGTTTAGGCAGTCTCAATGAGGCCACGCCAAAACCCCTCTCGATTTCACAAACGGTTGATCCTCGCGACGAGCTGTAAATAATCGTTCGGCTCTTTCCTGAGACAGGCGCTTTAGCCTTGCGCCTATGACTTGACTGTCACATCGAGCTTTTCCTAGCGCAGTTGGGGTTTGAATGGGTTTGGTCGGTTTGGTGAAGTGACCTTTTCCTCGCCCTGTCACCGGGTGAATGTCCTAAACTCTACTGGGTAGTTGGAGGTGGAATAGGAGCGAAGAAACCCCAGAAGCTCTACCTTGGGGACGACATGAACCCGAAATCTGCGGTCATATACCCTATAGTACGGTTACTATAAGTCCTGCGCCATAAAGCCCTTTTGGTGTTCATTTGGTCCCAAGGAGCTAGAAGTATGCGATTTAAGACCAGGCAAAACAAGAAGCCAAAAACTGAGTCGAGCGCGGAATTCTCAAAGGCTTCACAGCCGAACCAAAATTGCCCCTGGAATCCGTAACGCCGTAATACATCGTTAAAGCCACAATTTCTGAACAAGGAGTCGGCACACGGCCGTACACAAGTCGCTGCCAGGCTGCTGTTGGAACTCTTTTTCTTGAAGTTCCGTAAAGTACAAGGACATGAAGTGGCCTTTGCTGAGTTGTTATTGGGCAAGGGCTTCAAGTGTGGCCAAGAACCAGAGGCTGGAGCAGCTCTTCGGCGAGGCGCGGCTGAGGCGGGCGGTGCTTGTGAGTTCAGAGCTTAGGGGCTTTCAGGAGGTAGCTAGGCCGGATTCTGTGATTTGGGATCACTCTGGGAATCAGGTCGGAGAATTGGTCCTACAGGGCTTACGTCTTTGCGGCTCAGATTGTTGCTGTTGATTGTCGGCTTCTTGACTTTGGGGGCCTCTTGCTCTAAACCCTAAGCCCTAAGCCCTAAGCCCTAAGCCCTAAACCCTAAACCCCTTGAAAAGGGCTCCTAAAGCCCTTCCTGCCCACCTAAGGTCCCAGACCTTCTCCGGTGCAAATGCCTTCGCCTCCACTTCCTCCTTGCCTCGGCTGCTTCAGACGCCTCAAGCGCAGAGGCGGTCCCTGCGTGTTTCGGGGCCAGTGGAGGGGGACCTGCTCGACTTTGGCAGGTTCTATCAGGTTCTTCAGTAAGCTGGGAAGTCCAATCCAGACGCTCCCAATTCCCCCCAAACCGTGATTTCCCCCCTCCGCCTTCAAAGCCCCAAAGCCCAAGTCTCTGGTCTTTACGAGTGTGCCCAAAGGCTCGAACGGGACATCGCTGACTTCACCCTGGCGCCGCAGGGCGCCTCCAGCGCTTTGCAGGTTGGGGGGGGGGGGGGGAAGTCCGGAAGTGGGGATACCTTCGTTCCACAAGTTTGGGGTCAGACAGGGTTTCACATGAAGAGCCTGGCTTTTGGGATGCAAGATTCTGGGTCTGCATCTGAAGCGGTCTAGGTCTTCCGAGTTCTAGAATTTGGGGCCTTTTGTTGGACTAATCCCTACTGGAATTGAATGGACGTTCAGGAATCCCTTTGTATGCATAATCTGTTTCACGATGCTGCTATTCTACTATCAAAAAGACTCTCTTCAAATTTGAACAGGGGTTCCTGGATTCCTATGATGAAACTCCTGTTCAAAGTTTGACAGGAACAGCCATACAGCAGTAAAACAGAAGCAGGAACAAAGAAAACATTGTCAAGTAGTACCCTGCTAAGTTTGCACACTCGTAAACACGCAACAGCCGTAGAATAGTAAACCCGTCACAGCGAAAACCAGCAAAAGAATAACCCTAGACCCTAAACCCTATTCGGCAATTTTCCCTCCCTGCAGGCGCGGGCAGACGCGGAGCAGCCGTCCCTGGGCCTTGAGGCGACGGTTTGGTGTTCCTTAAACCCTAGACCCTAAACTGCCAGATGCTGAAATGGCGAGTGTTCTTTACACCCTGAAGCAGTGCTGTGACGGCTGACAGCCATCAAGCACGCCAGACAGGCACTCCTCATCCCCCTTTTTTATTGGGTCGGGGGGGGGGGGGGTGGGTGGGGGGTTGATGTGGGTGGAACAGTTAGTAGCGCCTCAGCTGCTCCTTAATGTTGGGACCATCCAGGAGTTCTTCGGCCTGCGTCACGAGCGTATCATTGTGGAGACCGTGGAGGCGGCCGGCCACTGGTTTCATGCTGTCCGTATCGCAAGTTGAGAATGAGTCTTCCGGTTTTGTGCCAGAAACACAGCCCACCCGCATCTGAAGCCTCATGAGTCTTACGTGTGGTAAGGGTACCCTAAACCCTAAACCCTAAACCCTACACCCTAAACCCTAAACCCTAAACCCTAAACCCTAAACCCTAAACCTTAAACCCTAAACCCTAAACCCCAAACCCTGTGGTAAGGGGCGTGCTTGCGAAACGCTGTGCTGCAAGGAGAGCTACCGGGACTGCCTGCGGAGCTGCGAGCGCCAATCCTTCGACCGGCTTCAAGCCGACTGGGAAGAGGCCAAATCCCAGTTTCTTGGCATTGTTTAGGGTTTAGGGTGCTTGGACCCATGAAGAATAAAGCTACCAGAGGCATGTGTCGAACACAAGTGCCCAGGAGACAAAAGGCCCTTGTTGCAGGGATGGACCACGTGGGTGTAGCAGTGCAACCCAAAGCTCAACAGCAAAGCGTAGACCCAAAACACAGCCTGAGCCGCCACTCCCACAAGGTTCTTGGGAAACCTGCAGCGGCTAGGACAGGGTTCGTCGGCCTCTGGGCCGCGATTTAGGTTTAGGGTTTGGGGTTTAGGGTTTAGGGTTTAGGGTTTAGGGACAAGGAAGGTCAGGGTGTAGGTTTGGGAGATGAGAATGCTTGGGAAGTTATGGTGACTCGACAATGGGATTCGTGGTTCGGGCCTAGATTTGTGGAGACGCCGAAAGTTCAGCGCAGGCATTGTGTGTTCTCGATTGACGACCATTCAGAACAGCTAACAGCTAATTCACATGCCTATGTTATTATTTTTGTTTTTGGTGGGGCGGGGGGGAGGTGGTGGTGGGGGGTTGGAATAGACAGTACTTCACAAGATGCGGAGCCTTCGCAGAGGCAGACATGCTGTACTTCACAGGTACTCGGAGCCTGCGGATAAACTGAAATGCTGTAGACGTATTTGGTGCCCTTTCGAACCAAGACCTTGTCGGTTTCCACGATACGCGGCTTCCCTACACGGGTGCATCAAGGAGGATCTCAAAAGGCCGACGCGATCTGAGGGGCCACGCGCAATGCAGTCACGATGATCGCGATGCCTGCATGCCTGGTCCATGGCATTCTGGCGCACAAGACGATCCAAACGGCCCCCTTCTCGGACCCCACCACATGCTGCGTCCGACTTTCAATGTGCTCTCAAGCGAAACACGAACTTCTGCAAGAACAGGTGCCGCACAGCACTTGTGGCGATTGCAGGTGAAGCCACATAACTGGAACACTGCGCTCGAGTGGTACATATTTGTACGCTCAACCATGCCCAGTTTCAGAGCATCACGAGCTTCCACAATGCAACAGCACAGGTCCTTGCTCTGTGCAACGATGGCACAACCTCGAGCCCAGCGGCTGTTCCACCGACGCAGGCGCTGTATTGCGGTCCAGCGATTTTCTAGGCATGTGACAGTCTAGGTTCAACCGAAAAGCACACGAGAAGTTGCACATTTCCTTGTGGCCACAAATGGGTTTAAGCCCCGAAACAATCCGAAGCAGCTCTCACATGCAAAACACCCCAGATCTTCCGAAACCCCTTAATTAAGGTATATACCCTAGTTCATAATAAGATTCCTTAGTAGAAATTAGGGTATATTCCTGTTTTGGAAGATCTGGGACCCGAGGGCCGGCTACAGGGAAGCCTCTGGGGCCCCTCCTCTCCCCAGCGCAGGACTCCCCCATCATCGAGGCCCTCCTGAGCGAAGCCATCAGCCCACAGCTGGTGCAGAAGCTGCTCGGCTCACGTGGGTTTAGGGTTTAGGGTTTAGGGTTTAGGGATTAGGGGCGCAAACTTCGGGGGGTTTTAGTCCGACTTCTGGTTTTGCGGGTAGAGCGCGGGGCGTGGTGGTCTCAAATCGGTTTGAAGACCCGACACAAGCCGACGTCCTCTTTGGGGAACGGTTCATGTTCAGGTCAGGGTCCAGGCTTGGGCAAACACTAGCTTCGCCGCCAATCGTGCACCCCTAAAAACCCTAAACCCTAAACCCTAAACCCTAAACCCTAAACCCTAAACCCTAAACCCTAAACCCTGAACCCTAAAGCCTAAACCCCAAACCCTAAACCCTAAACCCTAAACCCTGAACCCTAAAGCCTAAACCCCAAACCCTAAACCCTAAAGCCTGCTTGTGTGACCCCCAGGATTGCGCAGCTCAGCAGCAGCAGCTGCCCAGCCTACCAGGCCGAAATCACGGAGTGCTGGAGCCTTGGGGGGAAATTAATATAGGGGTTTAGGCTTTAGGGTTTTAGGGTTTAGGGTTTAGGGTTTAGGATTTAGGGTTTAGGGTTTAGGTTTATGGTTTAGGGGTCGGAATTATTACTGATAATGTCCCCTTAGGGTCCCTTTGTAATAATGCTCTAATCACCCCCCAAAACCCGATTCTAATTATTCAGGCCCCTACATTAGACTGTTTTCTGGGTTTGATGGGACCTGCAGCCTTGGGTCATTTCTGTTTTCTATGGGTTTGGTAATGTTTGGTAGGAATGAGTGGACAATTCTTGGGTGTTCGAATTTCAGGGTGATGTTGCGTAAGCTACGTTTGCTGCCGCGGCGTCCGAAGCAAAGCCAAGGAGCATCGTTGCCCAAGAGTTGCCGCTTGGAGCAATGTTTGGGGGTAAGGGTGGGGGGGTTCTTCTCGTGGGGTCAATCCATAGAGCTCAATCAAATCAGACCGCGACAGCAACTGAGGAAGATCACCTTGGGAGGTATCACTGCCGGTGCCCTCACGTACCTCCAGAACCGCTTCTTCGACGAGGTGGGGTTTTCAGCCACCCCAAGCCCCAAACGCAGAGACTCAATGCCAGGCTGCTAGGTCTTAAACCAACAGTGCGTCCCACGCCCCCACAGTCCAAAAAGTGGTGCTCGCCGCACAGATGCCTTCCGAAGCAGCCGAGTGTCCCCGCAAGCTCTCGCCCTAAACTGCAAGTCCTTGTTGATCGGTGTGCAGAAGAGACATGACCTTCAAGTTTAGTATTTGTCGTTCTCAGTCTTTGGGTTGTTTCTCAACCCTCCCTCACCCAGGTGAAGAGTTTCGTGTACAACCAGGCGGATTCGCGTTTGGGCGGCGTCCCCGATGCCTGGTCTCTGGTCAGGGCCTACGGCCGACTGCGGCTGGGCTTGACCCTAAAGATTCAACCCTAAACCTCTTCGGGTTTGGGATTTTTACTACCTGGGCTCCTGAGACCTTGAACCTCAGGTCTACAGCTCTGCGAGTTGGCAGGCCAACTGAAGAACCTAAAGAGCTGAAGGCTGCGCTAGTAGGGGATTCGAAGTAAGGGCCATTCAAATGGGCCCCATGTTATAACACCTTGTATACACTATACATAAGAAGGGCCCATACTTCGGATCCCTTTAAATCCCTGTAAACAAGGACAAGGGACCAAACTAAGGGCCCATGGTTCCAACCTTAGAACTTTGCATGAGCTGCATTGCAAAAGCCACAAAGCTCACAGAAAGGTGAGGACGGTCAGAGATGTTCGGGTGGTTGTTTATGAGAACGGTGGGGGCATGGTACGGCATCACTGCAAACATTAGGGTGCACTAGTGATGATGCGTGAGTTCCAACACCTGGCGAAGCACTTGTACCAAAACATGTGGAAGGAAGTTTCTAGAGCCCTCCTCACGCACCAGCACTTAAACTGAACCCTGAACCCCATAAACTTCGACATCGTTTCATTGGCCGGTAGCAGAGCTGCAAAGACCAATGCCTAAACCACCCTAAACCACCCTAACCCCCCCCCCCACAAAAATGCAAAACCTGAACCCTAAACCCTAAACCCCAAACCCTAAACCCTAAAGGCCCTAAATCCTGAACTCAGACCGCGCTTGTGTTGCTTCGCTCTTGAGGAAGTTCCAGACCTCCAACTTCCCCAGCGCCGCCGTGCACGTCTGGTACGCCGCTTACGTGGCCGCCCGTGCGGGCCTCGTCTCCTTGCACCTTGGCTTTGGAGCGACATTGGGACTTCGCGCTTGGGCGTGGCGGCCTGGGGAAGATACGTGGGCCGTACAGGGGTTGGAACCAGCGGGCTTTGGAGGGGGTTTAGGGTTTCGGGTGTAGGGTGCTAGGGTTTTTAGGGATTACCAGGGCATGCGCCTCAGGTTTTTGGCCGGGGGGTTGCCTGTTCTTCAGGCACTGAGGATCATGCTGGAGCGGTTTGCGGCGTCTCGCGACCTGTGTAGGACGCGGAAGTGTCGTCAAGCAGAAGGCGGTGCGGCTGAGTGGGGGGCAGGGGGGGCAGGGGGGGCAGGTTTTTTTTTTTTAGTATTTCTTAATAATTGCAGGCAATAAGTCTAATTGCTAATCATTGGAAATCATTGGACATACTACTACTTACTAATACTTACGAATACTTACCAAAAGATCCAACAACTACTTTTAATTATTAATATTCACTAATAACTATTGAAAATTGATAATGGCTATAAACTTCATCATTGCTAAAAACGATGAATCGTCTTCGTAATCACGAATACGTAGTAATGATAACGGGTAATTCTTAATACTCAAAAACAAATATTTCTAGTAATTCTAATAAATACGAAGAAGTGCGAATGACGACACATATTTACGAAGAATTGGGCCCCCAAATCATTTTGACCATTTTTCGCGTTTTTGCCATTTTCCCTTGTATAAGGGCCTCCTTGTAAAATTCAGGCTAGCTAAGACGTCCAGTTGCTTTGACGTTTGTGTTTTTTTGTTTTTTTTGTTTATGTGTGCTTTTGGTTTTCCTTACTTTCTCTTTTATTTTGATAGGTGGTCAATTTCCTGTAGACAACTTTCTATCTTATGGTCGTATCTTGACATTACATTATCTTCATTTTTTTTGGTGTCTTGTTCGCGTGGAATTATTATCCAGAGTAAAGAAACCATTAACAGAGGCTTGTAATCTTTCAATAGAAATTATATGCACGTAATACAGACCTTGTTCGTCAGGAAATTTACTGTGAGTGAACGTTCAGCATAATGGGGCGGGCCCTTATGACAATATGCGCATACTTGTAATATAATTCACGCGTATGCACGAAATAATATTCTAAAAGGGGTTCGTTTCATTCATTGCGTTATCACGAAGGAAAAGGCAAGGACTTTAGGACGCGCGCGCTTTTACGAGCGAAAGAAGAGAATTAATTACAATGTGTGACGGGCGTATGAAGAGATGATTAGAACGCCCCTGTAAAATGTATGCGAATGAATTTACTGAGCGCACGGGCCAATGATTTTATATTAAATTTCGTGCTCCTTTATGGGCCTTGTGTGTGACAGCAAAAGCTCGATTTTTGCCCGGTCCACATGACCTCCGGGTGGGGACAAAGATTCCAGTCTCCAGTACCTCATGGAAATACGTTTTTTTGTTGGGCTCAAAACAGAAAAGCTGTTTGATCCGAAGCAAGCTTGTTTTGATCCCGCGCACACACGCGAAGGGCACTGGACTCAACCCTAAACCCTAAACCCTAAACCCTAAACCCTAAACCCTAAACCCTAAACCCTAAACCCTAAACCCTAAACCCTAAATCCCAAGCCCTCTACACCTGGTTTGTCGGAAGTGTAACGCTGTGACACCACGAGGCTGCTGGAGCTGCCGGGCCGAGCCGCACCCACCTCTGACCGCTGCCCGATGCCTCTGGGACTTTTGGAGATAGGAAACGTAAAAAAACTAAACCTGGAACCTTAAACCCTAAACCCTAAACCCTAAACCCTAAACCCTAAACCCTAAACCCCAAACCCTATAAACCTTAAGCCCAAAATAGGGCGTTTTGAAGGTAGGCTTGTTTCCTGAAGCCTGAAGGGCGCCGCAAGCAGACACCTTAAAAGCTTTGAAACCCTGAGAAGCCAGCCACAAACTGCAAGGCGCTAAGGAGACCCTAAACCCTTAAAGCGTCAAAAACGCTAAACCCTAAACCCTAAACCCGAAGTCCCAAGTATGCCAGGCTTGGGGCCGTTTGCTCGCTGATGGCCCGCCGGCTCCATGCTGTGTCGCCGCAGGCGTAGCCTCAGAGGGAACGACTGCTAGCACTGGTATTGAGACGGTTTAGGGTTTAGGGTTTAGGATTTACGGTTTAGGGAACTGAGAGAACTGCTTTGTTGCGAGGGTCTTCTGAGTCCTTTCGGAGAGTTGAGGTTCAGGTCTTACTGGATCTAGGCTTGTGGTGATCCAGGGCGGTGCAGGGTTGGGGAGAAAACCCTAAACCCCAAACCCCAAACTAAACCCTAAACCCCAAAACCCTACACCCTAAACCCATAAACCTTAAGACCCCCTAGATGTATCTAGATGCACAGAATGTTGTAGAATCCCGCGTGCCGACAGCCTTTAAGCCACAAGTGTGGACACCTTCAATTGTGAGCCCCCAAGCCGCAGCCGCAAGCAACCTTCTCTCTGTTTATTATCCTAAACCCTTAAACCCTAGACCCTTAAACCCTTAAACCCTTAAACCCTAAACCCTAAACCCTAAACTCTAAACCCTAAACCCTAAACCCCAAACCCTAAACCCTAAACCCCAAACCCCAGGCCTTAAACCCTTTACCCTTTACCCGTTACCCTTTAAGCCTAAGCCTTTCATTCTCCTTCTCCCATTGCCAGGGTGTGGAGCTGGCCGGGTGCCCGGAGGCGGACTCGGCAGACCTGCTGAGGGCCGATGTGGAGCAGGACTGTTTAGGGTTTAGGGTTTAGGGTTTAGGGTTCAGGGTTTAGGGTTTAGGGTTTAGGATAACGGAGAACTGAGAAAAGCGGGCGGAAAACTGGCGAGGGCGAACGCCGCAAGCTCTTCAGAGCCCGGCTGGGCCAGGTCAAAACAAACCCATTGCAAACCCTCCGCAAGCCTTCAGCAAACCCTCAGCAACCTGAAGTCCTAAACCCTAAACCCTAAACCCTAAACCCCAAACCCTAAACCCTAAACCCTAAACCCTAAACCCTAAACCCTAAACCCTAAGCCCTAAGCCCTGAGCCCTAAGCCCTAAGCCCTAAGCCCTCAATCCCCAAGTCTCCAGACACAAGCGGCCCTTTTCTCCCCTTTTTTTCCTACTTACGGTTGGTTAGTAGGGAATGAGGGAATGAGGTATTTTGTTCCCCCTTCCCTACTAAGAACCAGCAGGTCTGCTATCCTAATCCCCAAAACAACCTTACAGGGTATACATAGGGGATAGAGGGCACCTCATTCCCCCCATTCCCTGCTAAACCAACTAAACCCTAAACCCTAAACCCTAAACCCGAAACCCTAAACCCCAAACTCCCCCTTGTTGAAAGGAGAGTTCCTTCTTCCACGATGTGCTGGTGTCGCTGCTGCTGCCGGGCTGTTTGGGGACTGGGTGCGGTCTTTGAGGAGGGTTTAGGGTTTCGGGTTTAGGGTTTAGGGCGAAGGAAGCCTGAATGGTGGGTTTCTGCGCAGTTTGTCTTGGCTGCAAGTGCTTTACAATGTCGAGAAGGCTTGTTTCATGATTCTTTTCCACAAAATAGCAAAACCCTGACAGGAGTGGGTCATTCATGGGGCAAGAGGAACGATTCAGGGTCTCTCCAACTGAGGGTCTCCCCCCTCCCCAAATCATCTTCTTGTCGCACGAGTCTACCTTTCAACAGGTGTCGCAGTCACGAAAAGCCAACGCCAAAGCCTTTTACATTGCCGATTACCACTACTTGCTTAAGAACCCCCCCCGAAAAAACAAAAAAAAACAAAAGACAATAGTCCTTATCTGAACCTTGTAAGGAAGAACATGTTGTTACAATATTATTCTTTTTTTTTTGGGGGGGGGGGAAGGGGGGAGGGGGTTTTAAGCAAACAGCAGTTTACTCATTGCCAGAACCGGAACTAAGGCTGGGCCGCAGCTTTGCATTCAGCCGGCTGCCGGAGGGAACGGTGGAGGATGGGCCATAGATCGATTGGAGAGGAAGTTGGGACGTTCCCCCCTTTATACTAACAGGTCCTTAAGAGGGATTCTGTAGTACACCCCATTACAATCCCTCTTAAGGACTGTTTGTTTTTGGGGGAACATCCCAAGCAGGAAGCGAGGTTAGGGAAGAGGTTAACCCCCAAGAGCTTAAGGGATCTCGTGCACAGGGACTGCAGAATTCTTGCGTCCAACGCCTTGACGCGCTGAGGCTCGAGGTTCTTTTGGTTTCTGCCGCGGTCGAAGTTTGCACAGGGGCTTCGAGCTCAAGGATCACAAAGAGGTGCCTCACAGGCCTGAAAAGATCTGAAAAGTGCCTTCATGATTAAACGAAACTAAGCATAACCACTGTCTAAAGAACCCGGGTGCTTTAACAGGCACCTTGGGTTACTGGGTCAGCTCCTCACCTCCCAAACCGAAAACCCATCTGAAACCTCCGAACTTAACCCCCACGGCATTTCGGAGGACTGGCTTTGGTACCGATTGCACCTGGTCCACCTCCTTGGAAAGGTGGCTTGCGATCGCTTTTGGAAACCTAGAGAGGTGTGGGGTGTAGCCGCAGCTGTTTGACGAGATTTGGTCGAGCTGCTTGTTCTAAGCCGCAGCCCTAACTTCAAACCCCACCAAATCCTGAACACCACCGTTTTTTTGTCAGATGTGAACCCCGGTGAGAGGAAACCAAACGCTCCTCTGGGTCCCCAGGCACAAGTCGCTCAAAAAACCACTGACGTCCGGATGAAAAGCTTGAACCTGCTCGCAGCACTGTTGGGGGGTGTCGAGTGGAGGCGTGGTCCAAGACTCCAAAAGCCCTAATCAACTCCCTTTTCTTTCTGGCAGAGTACCAAATTTGGCAGTTTCCGAAAATCAGGGACCCCTATATATGGTTCAGCCCCGGCGGGCCCCCCCCCCCCCCCCTCCCCCCCCCCGGATGGGGTACTAAGATGATACCCCCCCCCCCCGCTGTGGTGTGGTTGGGGGTTGGTTTTAGGGTTTTTTAGGGTTTAGGGTTTAGGGTTTAGGGTTTTAGGGTTTTAGGGTTTTAGGGTTTTAGGGTTTTTTAGGGTTTAGGGTTTAGGGTTTAGGGTTTAGGGTTTAGGGTTTTCCCCGCGGATGGGGTACTAAGATGATACCCCCCCCCCTGTGGTGTGGTTGGGGGTTGGTTTTAGGGTTAGGGTTTAGGGTTCAGGGTTTTAGGGTTTAGGGTTTAAGGTTTAAGACTTAAGGTTTAGGGTTTAGGGTTTCGGGTTTAGGGTTTAGGGCTTTAGGGTTTTAGGGTTTAGGGTTTAGGGTTAGGGTTTAGGTTTTAGGTTTTAGGGTTTAGGGTTTAGGGTTTAGGGTTTAGGGACCGTAGAGTAGACTTGGGGGGGGGGGATACCATGGGGGGGGGGGGGGGCCGGGAACGCCCGACGCTGAACCATAGATACCCCAAATAGTAGGATTCCCTTACAATAAGGACCCCAAAAAGGTACCCCTAACTTCGGAAACCCCCCCATTTCGCACCATTCCAGGACGATCAGTCGCCGGAGTTCAAGCAGCAGCTCGAGGCCTTGCGGGGCCAGGCGCGCACGTCAGCGGGCTGGAGAGACGGAAGCGAGTCCCTAAACCCTAAACCCTAAACCCTAAACCCTAAACCCTAAACCCTAAACCCTAAACCCTAAACCCTAAACCCTAAACCCTAAACCCTAAACCCTAAACCCTTTGAAATAGCCCTGAGCATCCCCGATGGCCCCATGTCGGCCACGGGCTGCCTTTTGCAGGCAGCCTCGCTGCCGGCGTCGCACTTCGACGGCGGAGCCTCCTCGGGCGGCACAGGCGAAGTGCCAGGCCGAGGGCCGTTTGTTCGTGGGAGTTTGGGGGCCTCCATGGTCTTAGGCTGACTTGGGCTTGGAGGTTTGGAGCTGCCTTGCATCTAGCACTCAGGGGACGCACCCGGCATCCCCGCAGGCCGTCACTCACGGGTGCTTCAAAAATCCGGTGGTTTTAGCCCATGGAGTTGGCCAACCAACAAGCAGCAGAACGCACTTCGCAACTTTGACCTGGCGCGGTGCACTAACCGAAGGCTGCATGTTGACATGATTGACGGTATACTTTGGGGTTTCGGTTGCGTCTCGTGGGCTTGCACAGCACAAAACGTGCACAGGTGTAAGCGCAGCCATGACCTCGATGCAGACGCTCAACTCGGTGAAGGCGCCGAAAATTTCTGCACATGCTCGTGGCTCGTGGTGAGTGCAAGGTGTGGGTTTACAAATCCCTGACCAAGAAACTATGTAATCGTGTCGCCAGCATTCATCACGGTTCGATGGAGTTCGCAATCTACGATGCTGAGCTCCAGTGCGCATATTAGAAGCAGGTCATATTACTGCTATTGGTGAGTGTATATAAGGTTCCTTTTAATATTGGTGAGTGTATATACTTGGTGTCCTTTTGGGGGGACAAGAAACCCTAAACCCTAAACCCTAAACCCTAAACCCTGAACCCTAAACCCTAAACCCTAAACCCTAAACCCTAAACCCTAAACCCTAAACCCTAAACCCTGAACCCTGAACCCTGAACCCTGAACCTTCTTTGAACGTGAGGCCTTGCTGCTCACTGGCCAGTTTGGCCGCGCTGTGCAGCAGCTGCAGGCTCCTATGGAAAGGGTTTAGGGTTTAGGGTTTAGGGTTTAGGGTTTAGGGTGTAGGGTGTAGGGTGTAGGGTGTAGGGTTGAGGTTTAGGGTTTAGGGTTTAGGGTTTAGGGTTTAGGGTTTAGGGGTTAGGGGTTAGGGGTTAGGGTTTAGGAAAAGATCTGGAAAGGCTTACAAGGCTTCGACCTCAAAGCCAGGTTTTTTGGTTGGGGGGGTTCGGAGGGATGAACCACGTCGAACCCTCAAACTCCAATGTAGAAGCCTGCGTAAAACTAGAAACCTGAATCTCAAAACATCAGTGGGCCGAAAGCGCCAGACCCCCAAACCACGACCTTTCGAAACTAGCTTCTTCAGCTCCACGTCCACTTCGAATCACTTGAGACCAAGATCCATTCTTTCCACGATGACCGAACACCACCGACACCGACCCGCACCGATCCACACCGTAGTCCCCCTTCTCCACTGCTAGGACCGCGCTCTGCGGCCCGTCGCCCTGCACATGGCGCTGGTCCTACAGCGGGCCGGCACGCTGGAGGCCCGCGCGGCGTTCGGTTTATAGAGGTATCGTAGAGCTCATACTGTTCAGGGCGGATGTCCCTGGATTTTGCGGCCAACAGAGGCTTGGTAGCTCTGAGGATGACTTGTTTAACCGTGGCAGCTATGAACCACAAGTCCTGTAAACCTGCTCTCATTCGTACGAGGCGGTCGCCGGGCTCGAGACGCCGCTCAATGTCTCGGCTTCTCGGAGTTTTGGTTTTTGGCTCCGGGCTGGGGGTTTGGAGCAGGGTTTTTGCCTCGTCTCGAGGTTCAGGGTGCCTTGAAGAGGTTGCATGCCTGGAGCACTCAATGGGTTCTAGAGGGTTGTGGGCATAGATGCATGCTGGTTTGGTGTAGGCTGCTCTGGGCCTCCTAGCAGTGCAGCAGACTCTGTTCGCACATATGCATGTAGCATGCACTGTGATGCAAGCCTGCAGTCTGTAAGGAAACTTCCTGCAGCATCTTGAAACCTTGCCGAAGTGGCGAAGTGGAATCCTCTTCACGCTGTTCAGTGAGGCTTTCCTATGCGACTACGCCTCCAGCTTCCGCTGTGCGGAGCAGCTGCGATACTTCCGGGCGCTGGACGTCAAAGAGAGGGTGCCATGGCGAAAGCCGGGGTGTGTAACAGACCTCTGTAGACTCTAGTGCAGACATCCGGGCGCGAATGGGATCCTTTGATCTTTTTTATACCCGTTTGGGTGGCAGCACTGCTCTCAAGACCCTCTGAGCCACCTCGGATCTGTACGGCACGAGCCTATGCTGGGTTGGTGCAGGGGTTTAGGTGCGTCATCGACTACTGACTGACGTACACGAGGGACGGAGGGGTGAGAACTCCTAGCCCTAGACTTCCGGCTGTTCGCAAGCAGAGCCTGTGATAGTGAGCAGAACATGTCTAGAACCTGTGTGCGGAAGATACCCAGTAAGTATGGACATCTGGAATGAGAACGGGATGCCCCTCGTAGGCAAGCGGTATGGAAGCATAGCTACATCACGCTCGCGCGCGAAGCCCCTTGAATATTTTCAGCGCAACGATTCGAAGCGATTTTACGACACTTTTGGCATCCGGACTGACATCAATCGCATTCCCCTTGTGGCTGACTGTGTCTTTGTGTACGGAATTGTCTGCATCCTGATGCTCAACTACGAGTCTGCCGCGCCAGAGACTTCAAAGCCAGAGCAGGGGCTGGATGCACAAACGAAGACGATGCCATTCTGTTCTGATGTCTTGGAGGGACGCCTCCGAAATGTACCTGCGTTGTGCTGTGCTGTCTTGAAACAACTGTTGCATTCGCAGATAAGTTGCATTCCCAGGCTTGTTGCACTCGATGTTGTTGTCAGTGACATTCGATGTACTGCCCATGCGGCTTCAGGAGTGAGTTGTTGTGAGTGCGCAGCCGAACTAGGAATCCTCCCCGGAAACGCCAACCAGGTGCAAGCGCTACAGCGGTTGCTCTTATCTGGTGGGGCCGTGGATGAGCTGCTGGGCTACATCGACCCCAATGGACGGCACAGGCAATGCCTTGGGAAACTGCTCTGCGCCAACATATGAAACCGGTACTGTTAGGGTTGCTCAAATCATGTATCATTTATTGATTGGGGTGTTTACGAAAGGGGACCCCCAAAATAGACCCCCAAAGACTATATAGTCCGTTTTAAGGAACCCTTGTTGTTTTTTGAGTTGGGGGAAGATATGGGAAGACCATGAGTTGCAGTTCAGTTTCCGGTGGGCCGTTTGGCCAGTGAAGATCTACATTCAAAACAACGAATCTCAACCAACAGGGCCAGGAGGCTGAGCAGCTGATGCTCATGATGCTCGCTTGGGTGGCCCGTGCTCGGGCAAAGCTTGAGCAGCGATGGTCGAAAGTGAGCCGAATGTGACAGCCGCTCATGATGCTCCCTTGGGTGGCCCGTGCTCGGGCAAAGCTTGAGCAGCGATGGTCGAAAGTGAGCCGAATGTGACAGCCGCTCATGATGCTCCCTTGGGTGGCCCGTGCTCGGGCAAAGCTTGAGCAGCGATGGTCGAAAGTGAGCCGAATGTGACAGCCGCTCATGATGCTCCCTTGGGTGGCCCGTGCTCGGGCAAAGCTTGCGCAGCTGATGCTCATGATGCTCGCTTGGGTGGCCCGTGCTCGGGCAAAGCTTGAGCAGCGATGGTCGAAAGTGAGCCGAATGTGACAGCCGCTCATGATGCTCGCTTGGGTGGCCCGTGCTCGGGCAAAGCTTGCGCAGCTGATGCTCATGATGCTCGCTGGGGTGGCCCGTGCTCGGGCAAAGCTTGCGCAGCTGATGCTCATGATGCTCGCTTGGGTGGCCCGTGCTCGGGCAAAGCTTGCGCAGCTGATGCTCATGATGCTCGCTTGGGTGGCCCGTGCTCGGGCAAAGCTTGCGCAGCTGATGCTCATGATGCTCCCTTGGGTGGCCCGTGCTCGGGCAAAGCTTGAGCAGCTGATGCTCATGATGCTCGCTTGGGTGGCCCGTGCTCGGGCAAAGCTTGAGCAGCGATGGTCGAAAGTGAGCCGAATGTGACAGCCGCTCATGATGCTCCCTTGGGTGGCCCGTGCTCGGGCAAAGCTTGCGCAGCTGATGCTCATGATGCTCGCTGGGGTGGCCCGTGCTCGGGCAAAGCTTGCGCAGCTGATGCTCATGATGCTCCCTTGGGTGGCCCGTGCTCGGGCAAAGCTTGCGCAGCTGATGCTCATGATGCTCGCTGGGGTGGCCCGTGCTCGGGCAAAGCTTGAGCAGCTGATGCTCATGATGCTCGCTTGGTGGCCCGTGCTCGGGCAAAGCTTGAGCAGCTGATGCTCATGATGCTCGCTGGGGTGGCCCGTGCTCGGGCAAAGCTTGCGCAGCTGATGCTCATGATGCTCGCTTGGGTGGCCCGTGCTCGGGCAAAGCTTGAGCAGCTGATGCTCATGATGCTCGCTTGAGCGCAGCTGATGCTCATGATGCTCGCTTGGGTGGCCCGTGCTCGGGCAAAGCTTGCGCAGCTGATGCTCATGATGCTCGCTGGGGTGGCCCGTGCTCGGGCAAAGCTTGCGCAGCTGATGCTCATGATGCTCGCTTGGGTGGCCCGTGCTCGGGCAAAGCTTGCGCAGCTGATGCTCATGATGCTCGCTGGGGTGGCCCGTGCTCGGGCAAAGCTTGAGCAGCTGATGCTCATGATGCTCGCTTGGGTGGCCCGTGCTCGGGCAAAGCTTGAGCAGCTAATGTCATGGTGCTCGCTTGGGTGGCCGTCTCGGGCAAAGCTTGAGCAGCTGATGCTCATGATGCTCGCTTCAAAGTTGAGCCGCTGCTCATGATGCTCGCTTGGGTGGCCCGTGCTCGGGCAAAGCTTGAGCAGCTGATGCTCATGATGCTCGCTTGGGTGGCCCTTGCTCGGGCAAAGCTTTGCTCAGCATGATGCTCGCTTGGTGGCCCCGTGCTCGGGCAATGCTTGCGCAGCTGATGCTCATGAGCTCGCTTGGGTGGCGTGCTCGGGCAAAGCTTGAGCAGCTGTATGCTCATGATGCTCACTTGGGCGGCCCGTGCTCGGGCAAAGCTTGCGCAGCTGATGCTCATGATGCTCGCTTGGGTGGCGTGCTCGGGCAAAGCTTGCGCAGCTGATGCTCATGATGCTCGCTTGGGCGGCCCGTGCTCGGGCAAAGCTTGCGCAGCTGATGCTCATGATGCTCGCTTGGGTGGCCCGTGCTCGGGCAAAGCTTGCGCAGCTGATGCTCATGATGCTCGCTTGGGTGGCCCGTGCTCGGGCAAAGCTTGCGCAGCTGATGCTCATGATGCTCGCTTGGGTGGCCCGTGCTCGGGCAAAGCTTGCGCAGCTGATGCTCATGCTGCTCGCTTGGGTGGCCCGTGCTCGGGCAAAGCTTGCGCAGCTGATGCTCATGATGCTCGCTTGGGTGGCCCGTGCTCGGGCAAAGCTTGCGCAGCTGATGCTCATGATGCTCGCTGGGGTGGCCCGTGCTCGGGCAAAGTTTGAGCAGCTGATGCTCATGATGCTCGCTTGGGCGGCCCGTGCTCGGGCAAAGCTTGCGCAGCTGATGCTCGTGATGCTCGCTTGGGCGGCCCGTGCTCGGGCAAAGCTTGCGCAGCTGATGCTCATGATGCTCCCTCGGGTGGCCCGTGCTCGGGCAAAGCTTGCACAGCTGATGCTCAGGATGCTCGCTTGGGTGGCGTGCTCGGGCAAAGCTTGAGCAGCTGATGCTCATGATGCTCACTTGGGCGGCCCGTGCTCGGGCAAAGCTTGCGCAGCTGATGCTCATGATGCTCGCTTGGGTGGCGTGCTCGGGCAAAGCTTGCGCAGCTGATGCTCATGATGCTCGCTTGGGCGGCCCGTGCTCGGGCAAAGCTTGCGCAGCTGATGCTCATGATGCTCGCTTAGGTGGCCTGTTCTCGGGCAAAGCACTTGGGCGGCGGGTGGCCCGTGCTCGGGCAAAGTTTGCGCAGCTGATGCTCATGATGCTCGCTTGGGTGGGCAAAGCTTGAGCAGCTGATGCTCATGATGCTCCCTTGGGTGGCCTGTGCTCGGGCAAAGCTTGCGCAGCTACAGTATGATGCTCGCTTGGGTGGCCCGTGCTCGGGCAAGGCTTGAGCAGCTGATACTCATGATGCTCACTTGGGCGGCCCGTGCTCGGGCAAAGTTTGCGCAGCTGATGCTCATGATGCTCGCTTCGGTGGCCCGTGCTCGGGCAAAGTTTGAGCAGCTGATACTCATGATGCTCACTTGGGCGGCTGGTGCTCGGGCAAAGTTTGCGCAGCTGATGCTCATGATGCTCCCTTGGGTGGCCCGTGCTCGGGTAGAGTTTGCGCAGCTGATGCTCATGACGCTCGCTTCGGTGGCCCGTGCTCGGGCAAAGTTTGAGCAGCTGATAATCATGATGCTCACTTGGGCGGCTGGTGCTCGGGCAAAGTTTGCGCAGCTGATGCTCATGATGCTCCCTTGGGTGGCCCGTGCTCGGGCAGAGTTTGCGCAGCTGATGCTCATGACGCTCGCTTGGGTGGCCCGTGCTCGGGCAAAGCTTGAGCAGCTGATGCTGCTGCTCGCTTGGGTGGCCCGTGCTCGGGCAAAGCTTGCGCAGCTGATGCTCATGATGCTCGCTTGGGCGGCCGGTGCTCGGGCAAAGCTTGAGCAGCTGATGCTCATGATGCTCGCTTGGGTGGCCCGTGCTCGGGCAGAGCTTGCGCAGCTGATGCTCATGCTGCTCGCTTGGGTGGCCCGTGCTCGGGCAAAGCTTGAGCAGCTGATGCTCATGATGCTCGCTTGGGTGACCGGTGCTCGGGCCAAGTTTGCGCAGCTGATGCTCATGATGCTCCCTTGGGTGGCCCGTGCTCGGGGCAAAGCTTGAGCAGCTGATACTCATGATGCTCGCTTGGGTGGCCCGTGCTCGGGCAAAGTTTGCGCAGCTGATGCTCATGATGCTCGTTTTGCCACCGTGCTCCGGCAAAGTTTGAGCAGCTGATGCGCATGATGCTCGCTTGGGTGGCCCGTGCTCGGCAAAGTTTGAGCAGCTGATGATGATGCTCGCTTGGGTGGCCCGTGCTCGGGCAAAGTTTGAGCAGCTGATGCTCATGATGCTCGCTTGGGCGGCCCGTGCTCGGGCAAAGTTTGAGCAGCTGATGATGATGCTCGCTTGGGTGGCCCGTGCTCGGGCAAAGTTTGAGCAGCTGATGCTCATGATGCTCGCTTGGGTGGCGTGCTCGGGCAAAGCTTGAGCAGCTGATGCTCATGATGCTCGCTTTGGTGGCCCGTGCTCGGGCAAAGTTTGAGCAGCTGATGCTCATGATGCTCGCTTGGGTGGCGTGCTCGGGCAAAGTTTGAACAGCTGATGCTCATGATGCTCGCTTGGGTGGCCCGTGCTCGGGCAAAGTTTGAGCAGCTGATGCTCATGATGCTCGCTTGGGTGGCCCGTGCCCGGGCAAAGTTTGAGCAGCTGATGCTCATGATGCTCGCTTGGGTGGCCCGTGCTCGGGCAAAGCTTGAGCAGCTGATGCTCATGATGCTCGCTTGGGTGGCCCGTGCTCGGGCACAGTTTGAGCAGCTGATGCTCATGATGCTCGCTTGGGTGGCCCGTGCTCGGGCGAAGTTTGAGCAGCTGATGCTCATGATGCTCGCTTGGGTGGCCCGTGCTCGGGCAAAGTTTGAGCAGCTGATGCTCATGATGCTCGCTTGGGTGGCCCGTGCTCGGGCAAAGCTTGAGCAGCTGATGCTCTTGATGCTCGCTTGGGTGGCCCGTGCTCGGGCAAAGAAAGTTTGAGCAGCTGAAGCTCATGATGCTCGCCTGGGTGGTGGCCCGTGCTCGGGCAAAGTTTGAGCAGCGGATGCTCGCTTGGTAGCCTGTGCTCGGGCAAAATCTGCGCAGCTGATGCTCAGATGATTTTTGTCACGGCTGTTTCCGTGAGTTGTTTGCACATGAAAGCCAAAAACCTGACTGTTTTCGTTGCTTGGGTCGCCAGGCCGGGCTTGCTGGAGAGGACGCTGCAAGAGGATGGCATGGGCGACCAGGTTCGAAACCAAGCTGGGGTTCCTGGCCGAAGGTCAGAAATTCTGCAGAGGGCGACTAGACACCACACCATACACGGCTGATCTATTGTTGACAGGCAGAGTTCGTGGAGCTATGCTCTCGTGTGGGCCGGCAGGCAACGGTGATGCCTGTTGTGCGTGAGACTTCCTGCGGTTTGATGAAGTAGGTTTGGGTTTGTGGCATGTGCAACCAGGGTAGGTGCAACTCCTTTGTTTACAGCGCCACTTGCACAATAATTGTTTCATGGCCTGCAGATCTTAGAGGGTTTCGTCACACGCGCTGTGACACTTGGTTTTCATTCGCGGCCAGGTCTGCAACAGCAATTCGGCCCGTTTATTTTTCACACCTCCCCAATCTTCGTTTTGACCTTTCATTTTTTCCGAAAAATTCTCGTTAATGCCCCTGGAAGACAGTGTATGCATCTTTGCTTACTGCAGCGCCAAGCGCAAAACACCGCCCAAGGGCTGGAAGGCTCAAAGGCTTCAACAGGATTTTCAACGGCATTGCCAAGGGCAAGGGCGTGCTATCTGCTGCCAATGGACGGAACTCGTCGAAACTCTTATGACCAGTTCGAACGTTTAGACCGCAAAGTTATTACGCATTTGCCAAATGTGGTGGAGTTTTGATGCGACAAGGTATGTCCTTCAGCAAAACTGAAGGCAATTTATGCACAAGGACGCCTCACGACCTCTGCCTGCTTGTTTAAGCAACGCGTCCACCTATACATAGTAGTATCATAAAGGCAACGCCAAGCACAAACTCGCGCAACGACTTGAGTTATGCTGCCGACTTGCAGGGGGCGAAGGGGGGGGGGGAGCATGCAGATTATGCATGAAGGTCGACGTTCTGCCGGGGCCAGAAGTATCGACAAGCCATTCGACAAGCCTAAATCCTCAAGGAACTTTCAGCGAGCCGTGCCAACAGTGAAACATGGTCAATGTCACGACCCACCCTGAATGATTTGCAAGAATACGCAGCAAACACCCCAGAGAAGGTTGGTCGGTGCTATGGCATGCTCCGCTTCCAGTGAAGAACCCCAACTCATGACCTGTCCGAGGCCCGCGATCAAGGGCAGTACCGCGAAGCCATTCGCCTGCTGCACTTGGGAAGGCAGCATTTGGGCCTCCCCTAAGTCCTCGAGCTTCCCCCAAGTCCACAAGCCTTTTCTCGAAGTTGCGCACAGGTGCTACAGCGAAGTGCTTCAGGTGCCAGCTCGCCGGTTTTTTTTGTCTCCTTCAAGCGATTTGAGGGCATTCGGGGTGCTCCGGCTTTGTGGGGTACGGGTTACGACGGATCACGAGAACGTGGTTGCGGGCAAAGACTGTGAACGCTCAACCCGACGACATTTGAAGCCCCAAGTCCCTTTGCCCGTCGTGCAAGATCTTTGGGAGCCGAATCAACGAGAAATGGCAGGTGCTTTGCCGGTGTCTGCGGCTGCCGATATGGCGTGAGGACGGCCTGCTAGACCGGGATGTCCCAGAACTTCACAGTTTTCAAGCTTCGGGGCCACGGCGCTGTCCTGAATTCGATCACGTCATTATGGCTAGTGATGCGATGCATATCAGGTGATGGGTTTGCCAAAGCTTTCGAAAGTTCGGCCAGAAAGCAAGCCATGCATTTCATATGAGCGTCAGCTCTCAAGACAAGTTGCTACCACTCAGGGAAAGCCTTGCCCAAGCCTTCTACACACTACAGCGCTGAGAACTGTCGAGACCAAACACGTCAAACCACCAACCAGCAAGGAGGCTATCGCATCCGGCACGGCTGCGCAGGGCGAGGCAATGAGTCTGGCGCAGGAGGGGTGGTGGAAAGAGGGCTTGATCGGCGTGGCGTGGTATTCAAGGCCCTTTGGTCCAAAGGCTTGTTGCCGAAACAGCTTTGTATGCTCATAGGGGTTCTGGTTTAGAGCCCTGCACGCACTCATACTGAGCATCTGTCGGGGGTTGGAGAATCACAGTTTAGGCGATTTCGGCTACCACGTTTGGGATGCAGAGTTCCGTTCTACTTGGTACTTCTGTGAACTGTTCATGTCTTTCCGGCATTGCCTACAGTTAGCCCCAAACCCCAAACCCCAAACCCCAAACCCCAAACCCTAAACCCGAAACCCCTGCCAGGACATCCAGCGTTTTTTCGACATCTATGAGCGGAACCTGGATCGCTACGCATTATCCTCCCAGGTGGGGGTTTACGAAAGTACGGGACCCTTAATACTTAATAGGGACCCCCAAACAACAGGATTCCCTAAGGACCCGAAAAAGGTACCCCTAAATGCGGAAAACCCCCAAGTGTCACGGAAGGGGCGTGGGGAGGAGCGGTAGCTTCCAGAGGAACAGCTCAAGGGAAGGTGGGGCTTGGCCTTGGATCCATTAAAGGGGACCCCGCTCGAGAGTATCCGTGCCGGGTCCTACTGATCATGAAGGGGCACTGTCCTATTGATAACTGAAGGCATGTTCTTGCTGGAAAAATTGGGTCGCACTTGTTAAATCCAGGCGAATTCCCAATGTTTTCTGCTTGAACTGGTCTGATTGGATGTTCTGCTTGGGGCCTTCGCACTCAAGAGCTGTGTTGGAATCTGAGTCTTCGGCATTTAAGCTCAGAAATTAAGCTCCAAACAAGTAAGTCCCGAAGCCCAGACCGAAAAATAAAGAGTCTTCGTCTTCTTAGGCCAATGGCCAGCACAAACCCCTTTGCAACTCGTTGCATAAATCCTTGTGAAGGTCCTGCGCGACCAAGGAACTTCGACCCACTACCATTACAACTTTCAACATCCCTACTGTGCCCATGGAACGCCGAGCCATTGCCAGCCATTGCCAGCCAGGTCTGGACGGTGGCACGAAAGCTCTACGCCACGCGCATGTTCCACAGCCTTTGCGATCGAGGCGACTGCCAGGGTTGGAGGGGTTGAATACTGACTTTGGGTGTTTTGGTTTCGGCACACGGGGTTGTGCTTGGAGGGAATCTGGGGTAATTACATCAAGTAGGGCGGGTGAAGCGGTCTTGAAGGAGTCGTCAAAATGAGAGGGCAGACTGATAGTCTTCCAAGCCTCGATCCAGAAGAGGCCAACATCCCAAACCCTAAACCCTAAACCCTAAACCCTAAACCCTAAACCCTAAACCCTAAACCCTAAACCCTAAACCCTAAACCCTAAACCCCAAACCCCAAACCCCCAAACCCTAAACAGTCGGAAGCCGTGAGCCAGGACAGCCCGAGGCGGCTCTGGACGTTTTCGATCGCGAGCAGCTCCTGGGCGATGTGGACGCGCCGGCAGAGGCGGAGCTGGCTAGCCCTTCACATCCCAGGTTGGGTTGTAGGGTTTAGGGTTTAGGGTTTAGGGTTTAGGGTTTAGGGTTGTAGGGTTTAGGGTTTAGGGTTTAGGGTTTAGGGTTTAGGGTTGAGGGTTTAGGGTTTAGGGTTTAGGATTGAGGGTTTCGGGTTTAGGGTTCTGACAAAGAGTAGTTCTGGAGGGGTAGTTGTTGTTGTCACTTGGTGCCAAGGCAGGAGTGCGTTAGAGTCTGGCCTTCCTGCCTGAGGGTGCACGCCTGATTGTTGGAGCAGCTCTCACCCTACTGTGCTCACCCTACTGTGCCCCTACGTGCCTGAGTTTGCTCTTCTTCTTTTTCAATGCGTTCGCTTGCGCCTCACGCTCCATGCATGGTTGTGGTTTAGTCGCGGTAGCCTCCCACTCGGGGGAGGGTGGCTGTGTGTGCATATCCCATTCTACTGCGGGTCACGTCAGTCTGATTTCTTGCAGGGGCCGAGCAAGGCGGTGAGGGGCCTCGGCCAACGAAGACGCCCTCACCACCCACTCTGCGTGAACGTACCTGCGCTTGTGCGTTCAGACCGGCTTCTTTGTTGGCTTCGACTGCCTTAACCTCTATGAGTACCTCCTACTGGTCCAGTACGATTAAACCTTCGACGTGAGAGCGCTCGACAGATCACGGTGTGTGTGTGTGTGTGTGACGCCATCCGTGACACCCTATAGTAACTACAGTAGGCCTCCCAAGATAGTGCCAGGCAGCCGACGAGATATGGGCCGAGTATCCGCGGATCGAAGCTGGGTGGCAGTTATAGCGGCAGCCATACCGTCAGTCATAGCAGTCACAGCATCAGTGGTTTTAGGATTTAGGGTCATCGAGGTCGAACGCTTCGGTTTTGCGGAGTGTGGCTTTGGGTTGAGGGTTCGAGAGGCTTGAGACATGTCAGAGACGTCGAGGGACATGGGAGTCGCTATATTTTTCATTGCGCCCATGGCCGGTCACCGACTACCGACCTGAGTTCCTGAAACCTAAACCCTAATGCCTGCGCGACCCACCTCACTGCTTTTCCTCAGAATTCTCATCATGATCTCTTATTGTTGCTTGGCTCTTCGCTGAGTATCATGCGTCTTAACTGTACCGGTGCGCACTCGAATATGGGGGCCTTTTGACAAAGCACCCCTGCCCGTGGGGCGAGGGGCCCGTTGTCCACGATCGGCCTGCGTCCAGAGCCCTAAAGAACCAGGAGTTGATGCCCTAAAGAACCAGGAGTTGATGATGCTCAACCCTCCTCCTCCCCTCCCCAATTTGGGGGGAAGGCGCGGCCCTGTAGTCGAGGCGAAGCACAGAAATGAAGGCACAACCAAAAAAAAGACAACAAGAAGCGTTGAGCTTGCAATCTGTGGCGCTCTGTTGCAGCGCCGCCAGGTGTCGGCTTATGTGCGTGTGCTGAATTATGCGGCGGCGCATGGAGCCATGGTGGGCTACGCGATACAGGCCCCAAATGGCCATGGGTGTTTAGGCTTAGAGGATGGGATTAGTTTGGGTTGTTGACAGTGACAGGGCTCTTCGTTTCTTTTGCTTTGAAAGGAAAGTTGCGTGGACAGGAATGTTGCAGAGGTGCGCCAAGCCTTCATTGCTTGACCCTCCCCCATTTAGTTTTAAGTTAATCAACTGGACGCATCGAAAGTACAGCCTCTGTTGGTCGGTTGATTCCTGGTTCAAGAACTGGATTAAACTGCAGGTTTCAGTATTACGGCAAGTCTGAGGTGTTGGGTTTGGTTCATCACCAGAAGTTTAAGGGGCTCATCCGATAGGATGTTCCACTGGCAGGCTTCTAAAGCATGGGGTTTCAACGCCGAGCATCAAGCATCGCAAGTGCATGTTGCTACACTGCGCCCTAAACCCTAGACGTGTAAGATTTGGGATGTTCCGTCATACTACCCGTCCTTAATAGGGATGAGTTAGAGCATCCCCTAGTTTTTCATCCCTATTAAGGACTGTTAGTATAAAGGGGGGAACATCCCAAGCGTAAGCTCATCAAGCGGAGCCTGCTCTGGAGGACCGCGTGCGACGATTGCAGTCGTTTCTCGCGGCGCGCTGCAACCGCTTGGTGTTGGACCAGGAGCCCGAGTGGGTGAGCCCCGTTACTTCGTAGGGCTTTTGGAGTTGGGGGCCTAAAAGTGTGCCCCACCTCTAAAGTCATATGGCGGAGTAAGGTCAAGTATTCTCTTTTCCAGAAATATAAAGGGATCCCCCCCCCCCCCTTGGCAGACATGGCCAACATGCAGGAGGCCCAAGACCTAGATCCGACATGGGGTCTTATCCTCAAAGACCGGACTGCTGCAAAAGTGAATGGCGCATGCAGCAAGGGCAACGCGTCCCGGAACACACTTCTCACTGGCTTCGCAGTGTAGGTTGCGACAGTCCTAGCTACCGCGCTGTGTACTTGCTTCGGCGCAAGGAACAGAGCATCGATTGCAGTCGTGTTCCCTTTGTTGTTCTCCTTGTCTAGGCTCACTTCTTGTGAGCTTACGCTGCCCAGGGGTCTGCACCGGGTGTTGTGTCTGGGTTTCCTTTGGCATTGTACATCTTGGCCCTGAAGTTGGAACCTTAGGGGCTCTCGGGCCGACTTTGAGCGTGGTTTTTTGGGCTTGTGACGATGGTTTCGCCCAGAGATGTTCCGTTGAGGATCACAAGACAGAGCCAAGCAAACAGCCACATGGGCCAGAGGCAGAGGTCTCAGCAAAAGAACAAGGTTGAAGTTGCGGGAAGCAGGCTCGGCCCCAATGTGGTTTCTTTCGAGTTTGGGGTTTGCCCTGCCTCCCCGTTCGATGTCGTGGCTGCCCAGTGGTGCCCTTTTCCCTTTGTTGGGGTTCAAGGTTCCCTTATGAAGCCCTAAACCCTAAACCCTAAACCCTAAACCCGAAACCCTAAACCCTAAACCCTAAACCCTAAACCCTAAACCCTAAACCCTAAACTCTAAACAGTAACCAACTCAAAAAAGGGGTGCCCTTATTATCATATGGTTGCTGGGCTACTAAGACGTGCGTGGCGCCAGGAGACCGATGCTGCGCTGGCGAGGCTGTCGTAGCTTGACCCAGATGCGGTGAAGGGTTTAGGGTTTAGGGTTTAGGGTTTAGGGTTTAGGGTTGGCAGTCTGGATCGTCAGAGTGGGACCATGTGGGACCCCAAAACGTGAACCCCACAGCCCCTTATTCCAAACTTGCAACTTCTTGGAACCTCAAGCCTTTCCTCAAGATCCATTTGCCCTGGAGAATGCCACTTAAGGCTCTGCTTCTACGTCGCGCCTCCACCCTCCACGATGCTTGCGTGCAGCCCCTGATGGGAAAAAGGGGCTCTCTTCCGTTTTTGGAGTCCTTGGGGCTTAATCTTCGGGCCATGGGGGCGATCCCCCGAGGTCCACAGTGTCAGGATGTCAGAATGTGCCGCATGCAGATCAAGGGGAGCTTCGTTCTTTCCTGTTTTGAAGGCTCCGGTGTTTTAGGGCCCAGAATTCCCTGGACAGGCTATTGTGCTGTTTGCAGAGACCATGCCAGCCCCATCATTATCAATGAAAGCTAAACTGTAGACCCGTCAACACAAGCCCTTTAGCCCATAGACATGTAACTCAGGGACCATGCGGTAGCAAAGAGCCAAGCAGATCCATGGGATATTATATGATCGAGCTGCTCATGGTTGGACGTCGTGGTCCTGGCGATCGAGCTGCTCATGGTTGGACGTTGTGGTGGTCCTGGCGGGCTTCAGCGCTTTGCAATCGGCCTGTGCTTTGTCGTCGGCTGCATGCTGAGATCGGCATTTTCCCTGCAGCACGCAGGCGGGGAGGCTTGGCCTTTGACATTGATTGCCAGTGCACACAGCTTGCCACTCGTCGTTAAGATCTCCACGTCAGACCGCCCCGCCTACCGAACATTGCAAAGTGACATGGTTCTGCGTCTCACGGTTCGAGACATCTCAGTACTTGCATTTGACCCTGGCCTGGCGCAGTGTCAAGATATTCTGTCAGAGACTGTCAACCTACCAGCACCACACAGCTGCACAACTTCTTCCGATGGTTCGGCTGTGTACCTCGCGTTCTCTGCCGACTATGCCTTGCAGCCGGTTACGACGTACTTCTTCGTGTTGCGCCTCCTGCTGCTTGCGCCTGGAGACCTGCGACAACGGACCTTGCTTTGCGAAGTGCTGGAGGAGTTCGTGACTAGCTTGAGTTAAGAAACTTTCTCCATATTTCTTGCATAGAAGTGGTTCCGTCCTCCCATCCATGTTCCGCACTTTTGTTTAACTAGGGCTGCGCAGGGTTGCAAGGATTTTGCAGTTCACACATTGGTTGATTACACAGGCCCACAGTAACGCGGAGTGTTTCTCGAGAGTGACACCCCAATGGTTCCCATGAGGGTTCCAACGGCCTAGACGGGTCTGCCAAAGGCACCACAGGCACCACAGCAAAGGACGCCATGCATGGCACCAGCGGGTGAAAGCTCCATGATTGCCAAGCCGCTGCCAAGTTTAAGGTGACGAAGTGAAAGCAAATACTCAGGATCCACAGCAGCACGGGAGGTAAAGTAAAATCTCATTATCTATAGCCGCACGGAATGATTTTGGGCAGACAGCAGCCCTAAACCCTAACAGGAGTGAAGGCATGCGTTTGCTGCATGCCCCGTCAACATCATTAAAGCTTGTGTCTTCTGCTCCCCAGGACAACCTGACAAAGCAGGGCGAACAAAAAAACACCACCCCGTGTAGAGCCTGAGACGTGCGAGTATGCTTGGAGTTTCCATCTATATCCCCCTTTGGGAATTATCTTCTATTTTTCTTTATATAAAGCCCAAGACAGTATGAAGAATACTATTTTTGTTAAGGCTCTAAGGGGAGTTTCCATGTCCGCCCAAGGAGGTCATCGACAGGTTTGGGATCGTTCTGGGTACCATCGCGGCGTCGCCACCGCAGCCGATCCTCCAGCTGTCGGAGTTTCGCGGAGTTGTTTTTTGGGGGAAGGGTTCTCGCATGGGAGAGAAACCCTAAACCCTAAACCCTAAACCCTAAACCCTAAACCCTAAACCCTAAACCCTAAACCCTAAACCCTAAACCCTAAACCCTAAACCCTAAACCCTAAACCCTAAACCCTAAACCCCAAAAGCTAAACCCTAAACCCTCCAACTTTTCCAGCGATCGACAGCCCAGGTTTCACATCTCTGCAGCCAGCTTGGTGCCTGAGCAGGTGGGGGTGTACGAAAACAGTAAGACCCCCCAATATACACCCCCAAATAGTAGGATGCTGTTTAGCAAGGACCCAGTAAGGAATAGTAGGATCCCCAATAATCATAAGGACCCCCCAGAGGTACCCCCAATATCGTAAAACTCAGGTATATGGGACTTTACGAATAGAGGGGACTCCTAACATAGACCCCCAGATAGTAGGATCCCCTCATAACAAGGACCCCAATAAGGTACCCCCGAATATCCTAAAACCCCTAAACCCTATATAAACCCTAAACCCTAAACCCTAAGCCCTAAACCCTAAACCCTAAACCCTAAACCCTAAACCCTAAACCCCAAACCCGAAACCCTAAACCCTAAACCCTAAACCTTAAACCCTAAACCCTAAACCCGAAACCCCAGGTGTTCATCCTCGAGGTGCGTCTGGCCGCCGCCTCGGCGGCCACGGCCGTGGATGCTGGGGCCCAGGGCAGCGTTGTGATGTGGGCCAGGCCATGCCCCAAACCCTAAACCCTAAACCCTAAACCCTAAACCCTAAACCCTAAACCCTAAACCCTAAACCCTAAACCCTAAACCCTAAACCCTAAACCCTAAACCCTAAACCCTAAACCCTAAACCCTAAACCCTAAACCCTAAACCCCAAACCCTAAACCCTACACCCTAAACCCTAAACGCCAAAACCCTAAACATTGGTTAGGAACGTGCCTCAACGAAAACAGCCTTTGACCTCGATGCTACTAGTAGTAATGTCTAGAGTCTAGAGTCTTTGAGCGCTCTCTTGACAGTTTCGTGTGTGTGTGTGTGTGTGTGTGTGTGTGTGTGTGTGTGTGTCTTGTGTCACTTTGCACGCAGGCCCCTGATGCTTTGGGATTTTTCTGCGGTGAGCCCCTGCTCCGTGGAGAGCAGTGGCGGGCTGGCTGGACTGGTGGGTGGGGGCACCTGCAGCTTCCTACGGTTCCCCGTCAGCAGCGCCGCCTCCGTTCTGGACAACGTCGGCCTCAACGTCGCCTCGATGTGTTCATCAATCAGCTAGTGGAGGGCGGCATTATCGTGTATTCTCATGTAGCATAACATAATGTATTGTGTGTGTGTTACCATGTATCGTCATGCATTGTTATGCATTATCAGGTATTCATGCATTGCTAGTCACTGCTACGTATTAGGTCGTACATTATTATGTGTAGTCATGCATGGTGATGTCGTATTGTGAATTGTTATGTCATATGATGATCTATTATGTGTAGTAACAGGCATTACTAGGTTTTGTATCATGATGTCCTATTTTTTAGGTAGTCTTTACGTAAAATATATGTTTTGCCCTTGTTAGTATGACACTGTTTCATGTGTATGTATCTGTATGTGTGTGTTTCGGGTGGGTGGGGAGGGCTTGCGGAACCCACCCTTCTTCCAGTTCCAAGCTCCGAAGCACAAGAACTGCTGCCGAGTTTCTGTGGCCCCTAAACCCTAAACCCTAAACCCTAAACCCTAAACCCTAAACCCTAAACCCTAAACCCTAAACCCTAAACCCTAAACCCTAAACCCTAAACCCTAAACCCTAAACCCCTGATTCGTTTCCTTTGACAGCCCAGGCCATCCGGCTGGTGCCCGCAGGCAGGATCGGCGTGGAACCGGTGACATTCCGATTCAGGCTCAATGCTCCCAAGGCCGGAACGCTTGGCGTGCGATGGTATCTTAGGGCGACTTGGGAATCATTTTTAGTTTTTGGGTACCCTAATTCCTAAGAAACAGCAAAATTTAGAGGAACTTTTGCTAGGGTTCGAAGTTCAACCCTAAACCCTAAACCCTAAGCCCTAAACCCTAAACCCTAAACCCTAAACCCTAAACCCTAAACCCTAAACCCTAAACCCTAAACCCTGAACCCTGAACCCTGAACCCTAAACCCTAAACCCTAAACCCTGGTTCTGCAGAGGTATGCTCAAGCGCAGCAGCTGGGTCAGGCTGCACACGGCGCCATCAACTCGGATGCCGGGCTGAGTGTGGCGCCCGTGCCTTCCGCCTTGATCAGCTGCTAGGCAGGGCCCTTGGGATGTTTTCGTATTTTCCCTTTGTTTGGGTTTAAGAGGGTTTAGGGTTTAGGGTTTAGGGTTTAGGGTTTAAAGGGTTTGGGGTTTAGGGGGTGCTTTTGAGGAATGTTTTTCAGAGGGCTCGAAGGGCCATCCGAGGCTACTCCCGGAATGCGGCGGCCGGGGCGGACAACACGGTGCAGATCGTTTTCAAGCCCGGGATCACCTTCTCTGGCAGGGGAATGCTCCGCGTCGACGTGCCGAGCTTATTCCAGGTCATTGTCGCCGAAGTGCAGGTCAGCGGCTTTGCACGTCTCAGCAGCAGCCCCAGCATCGTGCTGGGCAGCCAGAGCGTCACGATCGAGCTCGGAGCCACCGATGTCCTCTGGACTGGGGTCAGCTACGCGCTACTCCTGCGAGCGTTCGGGCCGCATGAAGAAGTTGAGCGCGTTCTTATCCCGACGAGACGTTTTCTTGGAATGCAGACATAATCGTAACTCGCTCCATCCCCAAGATCCTATGTTGAAGAATTCCGAGGTTGCAGGCTTTGCAACATTTCCGTAGCCCATGCCTCACATCTGAAGCACAGCCAAGGTCCAGAATCCGGAGGTGGCCACGCTGCCCTCGGCATGTTCCGATGTGCTGTCCGCCTTGGTGACAGAGTCAGACCTGCTTGGTACCTCGGACTCTGGACCAAGGACTATACCCTAATTCATAGTAATGATGCTTAGTATAAATTAGGGCAAATTCTTTCTTTGCAAGGGGTTTTGGAAGATCTGGGGCTTCTGGTGTGTTGTAAGAAGCTTGAGTACTATAGGGTCGGAATAGTTATTAATGGTATTCCCTTATGGTCCCTTTATAGTTATACTACAATAGACCCCAAAAACCCCATTCTAATTATTCAGGCTCCTATACAGCCCTTTGTCACTCTTTTTGCCTGGGTGCGTTGAAAATCCAGACTCCAGCATCCTTGTCTTATAACCCTAAACCCTAAACCCTAAACCCTAAACCCTAAACCCCAAACCCTAAACCCTAAACCCTAAACCCTAAACCCTAAACCCCAAACCCTAAACCCTAAACCCCCCCTCAGACCCCAAGCTTTTAAGAGCCCTTCCGAGGCATCTTGGCCACCTCCACCTTCGTGCCCGGCGCGCCGGAGGCCTGGAGCCTCTACCTCGAGGCTCGGGTTTAGGGTTTAGGGCTTCGGGTTTAGGGCTTAGGGCTTAGGGCTTAGAAGTTTAGGGTTTAGGGTTGAGGCGCCAAATTCGGGGGGGGGGGGGGGTTGGACGGTCCTGCATCCTTCCCCCAGAAAAGTTCTGAAGTTTAGGGTTGAGGGTTCAGAAGTTTAGGGCTTAGGGTAGGGCTTAGGGTTTAGGGTTCAGAAGGTTACCCCAAACACGAAGAACCTCTTCGCGGCTGCCCAGAGCGGTCGCAGTGAACTGGCTCAAGTCTCTCTCTTGACGCTTCTTCCCTGAGCCTTAGGCGTTGGCTTAGTGCCATGAGCTTTCAGCACTGAAACCGCTTTGGGCATTTCCCAAAATAAGGGCACCCCGTTTAGACCCCCAAGATGGAAACGAAGCCCCTTAAAGGGACCCCCCTCCCCCCAAGATGGTACCCCATTTTGCTTCTTGCTTTCCTGAGAGGTGGGCCGCCCCGTGCAGGCCACGGCCACTGCGGCCATCGGCGCCATGAATCTGGGATCCGCACAAGAAAGACAGACAAAGAGTTTGGGATTCTGCGCTCCCAGGTTTTTTCAGAGCTTCGGTCACTTTGCAACCAGCACCCTTCAGTAGCAGCGATTTTGCATTTATGCATTCGGATCTGACTTGCTCATCCCGCACGCGGTCACGCGTTTGCTAAACCTTTCACACCACGAGCCTCAAACCCAAGCACCTGAAACCCTTGAACCCCCAAAACCCCAGGGTAAGTCGGTGCAGCGAGCTTGTTCCACACCTGGTCGAGCGTTTGGGTTCCCACGAGAGTCGTTTCTTGCCCTTTCGCCTTCATTGGCTTGCGAAACTGCGTGGGACGTCAAGGTTCCTGAAAAGCCCTCTTGGGGAGCTGAAAGCCTCAAGAAGGTTTTACGGGGGTTTCCGAGGAGGCCCTGGGTCCCCAAGAACCTTCGAATGCTGGGCATGCGAGGGTGCAAAGTGCTCATGGACTCCGGGATCCTGGAGCGCCTCCTTCCCCAGGCTCTCCCCTCGAAATCCCCCCCCTAAGGGCACTCTGTGGGCGCACTGGGCTGGGACACTTGATGATGCTCTTCAGGCCCGAAAAATCCCGAGGCACCCCAAAGGGGCTGAGGGTTTTCTCCGGATGTTGGAAGCATGAGACCAGGAACATCCTGCTGCCGCTCCACGGGGCATTCCTGTCCCCTAGCGGCTCGGTGGCGTTTGGAAGACTGTGCGTCTATGTGCTGTGTTCCTCCCACCACAACAAAATGTCTGAACTTTGCCAGTCTTGTACTTGGAAGCTCGACTAGTAACCCCAGTGAGTTTCCGAAACATCCAGGCAACTTGGCCGTGGAGCAGCTGAACACCTTGCAGGTGGGATGTGCAGGGAATGCGGCCATATCGTTATTTATGCTGGAACGTGTATGTTCACCGAACCATGCTTGCGCTTTGGGGGTTCTTATGTTGGGAGTAACGCGGGTTGGATCGTTTCGACGCAGCGGCGTGCTTGTACGCACACTGGGCCTCGAAATCGATGGCTCGCTCGGTGTTCCCTGTGACCCTGTGACGTTCTCCCTGGGCCGCGTGCGAATTTCAAGCCGGGAGCGATCGCCCCAGTGGGCCTGTGACGTTCTAGCTCAGGCGCAGTGCGCCTTGTAGGGCATGCTCTTGGAGTGTCTCGGGATGTTTTGGAATGTGTTTGACGTGGTCTTACTCCGTTTGGGGTCTACGCCAGCATAGTTTGTGGTATGGGGTAAACACTTGCATGGCTCAGAACTGTTTGCCGCCTTATGAATTGTCATGGAAGGTAGCAGGCGCAAATCTACCGGTACAAGGCAACAGGGCCTCCTCGTCCCCCGAAATGTTGAACCCTTATAGACCTTCATGCTCCTCCAAAACTAGTAACTTCCGCAGGTCTTCTTCAAAAACTCGCTGAGCTTGCTGTCGACAGACGCTTCGATTTCCTTGCAAGGGCCAGAAGAGTTCCTCTTCGCGTGCCTGGGACTTTAGAGGTTTAGCCCTGAACCCTAAACCCTAAAGTGATTGTGCGCAGTCTGGTCCAGCTGAAATGAAGGGGTTTACGAAAACAGGGGGCCCCTAAGCAATAAGCCCCCCAAAAAATTAGGATTCCCTCAAAATAAGGACCACCCCCCCACCCCCCCCCCCCCCCCCCCCCCCCCCAAGAAGGTTTCCGAAAAATAGAGGGCACCCTTTTTGGGGGCTCCTTTTTTTGGGGGGATTCCACTGTCTTTGGGGGGTATGAAAAGGGGCACCCTAAACCCTAAACCCTAAACCCTAAACCCTAAACCCTAAACCCTAAACCCTAAACCCTAAACCCTAAACCCTAAACCCTAAACCCTAAACCCTAAACCCCCCTTTCTCAGTCTGGGCTTCAAGGTGTCTCAGCCTCTCAGCTCCCGCGGCCACGGAGACCGCCACTTCGCTCCAGGGTTTAGGGTTTAGGGTTGAGGGTTTAGGGTTTAGGGTTTAGGGTTTAGGGTTTAGGGTTTAGGGTTTAGGGTTTAGGGTTTAGGGTTCCAGGGTTTAGGGGTTAGGGTTTAGGGTTTCCGAATTTAGGGTTGCCTTTCTGGTTTAGGAGATTGTTCGTGGAAATCCCAGGATAGGAGAATTTGACATGAATCCATAACTATTGGGTTGGACAGGAACAGGGTTTAGGGCTTTAGGTTCGAGGTTTTAGGGTTTAGGGCTTAGGGTTTCAGGGTTTAGGGTTTCAAACTTAGGGGATGACCCCCCCAGCCTCCCCCCCCCCCCCCAAAGTGTGGCGTGTGAGGTGTTCCCAGAGCTTGGGGATCCGGACTGTGTGCCTCGCGGGCTGCACTGAGTCACTGAAGATTCCAGAGCTCGGTTTTTTTTGGCCTGCAGTGCAGAAGTTCAGAGCGGTTGGGGTTTAGAGTCGGGATGCTCCTCCTTCATCGGTCGCTGCGCTTTCTGCGGCACGTATAGTATAGCATAAACTCGAAACCTGCAATCCTTGAACCCTAAACCCTAAACCCTAAACCCCCTAAACCCCCTAAACCCTAAACCCTAAACCCTAAACCCTAAACCCTAAACCCTAAACCCTAAACCCCACACGTGTGTTCAAGGTCTGCGCCGGGCCTGCTAACCCTCAGCTTGTCTCCGGGACAGTTCTTCGCCGCGGGAACGCCGTTCTCCTTCCAGATTGACGTTCTCAACCCGACCTTGAGTCAGGCGCCAAGCCTAAGCCTGAATTCCCCCGGCAAAAAACTTTTGAGAAGAAGCACGAACGCCCAATCACATTGATATTTGAAGCAGGGTTTATATTTCTGTTTTTGGTGAGTGTATATAAGGTTCCCTTTTTCATATTGGTGAGTGTATATATTTGGTGTCCTTTTGGGACAAGAAAAAAACCCTACTTCAGATATGTTTCTGAGCAAGCCGCAACACCCCCAAGCCCTGAGGATGCCCCAAAAGTCAGACCCCATGCAAAACACGGCATGGAGCCAAGCGGAAGCCGCGACAAGGCCGCCACAAAGCAAGCGGCCTCTGTTCCCAGGTCTTCCCAAACCCCCTTAAATTAAGGAATATGCCCTCACTTATGCTTAAAGATCATGATTCTGAATTATAAGGTCTCCTCCTTAACCTAAGGGATTTTTTTTGGAAGATCTGGGAGTTTCGTGTCTTCCGTCTTCTCCAGGCAGCGGCCATCCAGAGCCGCGTCGAAGCCCTGCGGGCCAAGTACTGGGACTTCAGCCCCTGGTCCCTCGCCCTGCCGCCGGGCCGCCCTAGAAGGAGCAGCGGTTTCGAGGTTCAGAGATCTTCAGGGTCCCTGAGTTTTTGAGTGCGGGTAAGCGAGACTTGAGCCATCCGCCATCCGAGTTCTTGTCAGAGTCCTTGTCTTGTGGATTTGTGGTTGTCGGGAGAGGGCTTCGAGGGCTCTCCCATATGCGCAGCCCGCACAAAGGGCCTCGCAAACCGAGGCAGTCCAGGGGCGTCTCATGCCAGGCAGCGCCGTTGAGATCTCCCTACGGAGGCCTGGACCTTTCGCACCAACCGGACATGCCACTCCCAAATCTGCAGCCCAAGCCTAGAAGCTCCACACCTTCCCAATACCCCAACCCACAAAATCCAAGTGCCTCCGGCCCAGAAAGTATGAAGCCCCAATACCCTCGAAGCCTGAGACTTCCAGCCAGGCTTGCAGTTGACCCCCATCCATGTTTTTCGACGATGCTTTTGGGGTTTGCTGTTGAGGGCTGGGCTGCTGGGCTGGGGTTTCGAGGCCTTGCTGTTTAATGTGCAGGGCTGCGTCTTAATTTTGTTCGGACGGTTCTTTCCTTGAATCTCCAGCGCCCGGACTGGTGGCTTGCAAGGGTTTTCGAAATGTCCTTTCTATTCAGAGATTCAGAGGGTTGTCTTTTTTCTTTCAACGATGTCGGTTATTGTCCCCAAACATTGGATTTCCATGGTTCCTCCCGTTATCCCCCCTCTGCTCCCCCCCTGTGAGCCTGGGGGTTGGGGGCAGAGTTTGGGATTGTCCCTTCTGAACAGGCCAATGAACTAACTGGCTGACTGACTGACTGACTAACACAGAAAGCCCGTGCCCAAGCAGCCCTTAGTTCCAGAATTTCGGGTTTCGGGTTTAGGGTTTAGGGTTAGTCAAGCCATTGCCTTTATGACCTTTCCCTGGAGGTGACAGCTGGCAGCTCTACAGCCGAGCACTGCAGGTGCCGCATCCGACCTTGGCTCAGTAGGACCCCACAGGCCCTGCAGCATCCAGGGTAGAAATGGGATATGATGAGATTGCAGCGTGGGGCTGTGGTCCTTGCGCAGTTGCTACCTTGCACGGCCTCTTGACCACGCTGAATGAAAACTGGTGTGCTTGCCCAACCCTGAAGCCTTAAAGACGAAGATGCAGCACACCCCCGCAACCGACAGCTGAACACAACACAAAGCAAGCTTCCAGGCGCACTTTTATATTGGTCTTGTGGTTGCAGAGGTTCCGGGTTGACCCTGCACCGAAACTCTAAATCTCGAATCCAAACCCAATCTTCAAGTCAAACCTGCAATTGCCCCAGGTGCAAGACGTGCAGTTCAGTGACTTCGGACCTGGGGCGGAGACCTTCGTCACTTTGTGATCCAATGGCAAATCTTTTGACGAGGTGTAGAATTTTCGAGCGGTTACTTGGTTTGCAGGCGCCACTGCGGCTCTCAACATCTCCATCTGAACACTCATTGCTGAGACTCAGCCCTTACGTCTTCTACATATGTGACGGTTAGCTTCAACCACAAACAGACGAAACAACATCCGTCCCCACGCGGGCCGAACCTCCAGTCCAGCATCACAGCGCAGGGCAATTGCGTGTGTCTACACGCTTATCGTACACGCCACCTGGGGGTACCCATGGCCTGTAGGTTTTGTCTATGAGCCCGGTACGTGGGCGGTTGAACCTGCCTCGCGCATCGGACCCTCATCCTGTCCCTGTAGCTGTTGTCGTTGTTAGTGCCATTCCCAGTGTCCGGCCTGGCAGCCATGACGAACCCTCACGGCCTGAACACGGTGCCGGTTGGGCATCTGGTGGGTACACACATGATTGGTCTCTTGCCGCGCCTAAGCGTGTGACGACTCAGCTGAAACATACAGAGAATCTCTTTGTCCTTCGTGTGTCTCATCTTTGCCTCTTCCAGCATCGTCTGGGTTGTTCTGGTTCCGGCTGTCCATGTGGCTGCAGCGTTTTAGCCAAAGTTCGCATGCATGTAGGGATACCTTTAGGCACCGCCAGCCGAAATTTCAAAGCTTCATCTTTCGTTTAGGGTTTAGGGTTTAGGGTTTAGGGTTTAGGGTTTAGGGTTTAGGGTTTAGGGTTTAGGGTTTAGGGTTTAGGGTTTAGGGCTTGTGTCCCTCAGGTCAGCTTGGCCTACCGACTGGCCGGCCGCATCTGGAGTGGGAGTGGCTGGGCGGCACGTGCCCAGGGGCTTGCGCAGATGAGCTACTTGCAGGTAAGCCCGTTAAGTGCCTTAATATGGTTAGAAGTACAGTTATAAGTGCAGCTAGAAGTACAGCTATAAGTACAGTTACAAGTACAGTTATAAGTACAGTTCTAAGTACAGTTATAGGTACAGTTATAAGTACAGTGATAATGGTTATAAGTACCATGACTCCAAGTACAGCATACCAGCAGCTTCGGATGAGGCATGCACCGAGGTGAGATGTACTTAATGGGCCCACCTGGCTACATCTTCGTGTCGCACCTTGGCCGCTCTTTGCAGGTCATGCTGGCTTCTGATCCGGACAACAGAAACTACGACAGGTCGTTGATGTTATGTTGGGGATGATTAGGGCGGGCCTCTTGCAGCCAGAGCGACCCTGAACACCAGAACCCAACCCCCAGAGCTTGAACGACAAGGAACATCGATGTCGACGCGGAGTCGACAGGTGTGGAGATGACGCTGCCCATCGGCGTGCCGGTGATCAACTCCGCACGGCCCCACGAGGTGCGCGTGTTCAATTTTCCCTGGCACCTCCTCCCCTGGTAGACATTTTTATACCCAACCCGAAGAGATTCGTGAGGTCATGCTGCCTATCACTGACAATGTCATCGAGGGGGTGCTGTATGGATTCCGTGCAAAGATGCTCAGTTGTGCACTTGGAACAAGTTCTGGACTAGTAAAGAGCTTAGGAGGCACATTTCGCTTGAGGATCATCGGGTTGCCCTTGCACTTACGCACTGCTTCGCGTGAGAGCAGTGTTGCGCATAAGTCTTCGCAGTCTATCCTTTGAAGGGCCTAGTGATTGAAGTTGCGAGTTGTCCTCTTCGAGTGGGGAGCTTTGCAGTGGCTAGTCTGCACAAGAACTACGAAAGGGTTACTCAGCCCTCCCTAAACCCTAAACCCTAAACCCTAAACCCTAAACCCTAAACCCTAAACCCTAAACCCTAAACCCTAAACCCTAAACCCTAAACCCTAAAGCCTTAAGCCCGATGCCCCACGACGTGCGAAGCAAGGATCCAGAATGCGCTGGTGTCACCCAGCTCCCAGGAGGAGCCGACCCTGGGCAGGAGTTTAGGGTTTCGGGTTTAGGGTTTAGGGTTAGGGTTTAGGGTTTAGGGTTTAGGGTTTAGGGTTTGAGGAGGTCAAGGGCAAGAGCGGTGGGCTCCGGCTTTGCCTGGGATTTTGGGCTTCTGTGCCTTGTTGAGGGTCGTGTCTCTTCCAGGCCGCATTGCTCCTAATTCGATATGGACCTACAAACAGAAGCCTCTGGACATGGATTCGTGAAGCTGGGCTTGAGTAAGCCAACAACAAAAAACAACTTTCCCTGAAATCCGCGCGAAGCTCGACGTTCCACGGGCTGGGCATTGAGGGCATCGCAAACGCACCGAAGGTCAAATCCTAGAGTGCCCTTAAGCAGTTCCGACGAAAGCATAATTTGCCCTACTCGACGGTCCTGGGTTCCCACCCAGGACGCCGAACCGCTGGACCATGCTCGTTACAGCCTCCGGAGCGGCCCTGGGGGGTCACGTGGAGGCGTTGTGTGCCCCTGTTAAGTTGCCATGTCGAAGGGGGGCAGAGAGGGCAGAGTGTTCGACAGAGTGGAGCCGGATTTATGCCTCAGGGTTCTGCGCTGCTTGACAACATCCCACAAGGGCAAACTACCCTAAACCCTAAACCCTAAACCCTAAACCCTAAACCCTAAACCCTAAGCCCTAAACCCTAAGCCCTAAGCCCTAAACCTTTAACCCTAAACCCTAAAGTGTCCTGACGGCGAAGGCTGGGACTTTCACGGGAGGGGCCTTGGAAGTCCTCCGCGCCTGCGACGTGGCCGCGGCTACCCAGGTCTTCCTCGCGGAGAATCAGGTCGGCTGCCCAATTTTTGGGGATTGGGATTTAGGGTTTAGGGTTTAGGGTTTAGGGTTTAGGGTTTAGGGTTTAGGGTTTAGGGTTTCGGGTTTAGGGTTTAGGGTTTAGGCTGTGATAGGGCGTAGATGCTGTGAAGGCTAGGTTTCAGAACAAGTTCGAAAGCTTCGTGAGGTGCGAAGAGCAGCTTTGGCCCGATTGTGGAGGGCCATCTAACCCACCCCACGCCGTCCAAGGCGGCAAAGCCACCCAAACCCAAACCTATTCCTTTTAGGGTTTAGGCCTAAACTCAGACAACAGTTCACTTCCAAAAACGTATTCAGTGTCATGATGTTCTGGGTTTGGTCCAAGAGTCAAAGGAATGGGGGAGGGTACAATGGTCAGGGCAGGGTCAGGGGGAAGGGCGGGAGAAACGGGCCCACGAGAGGAGTCAGTTACTGTACGGATTCTGGACCTTTGGTCACAGAAATCGGATGCAATGCTTTTACTGCTGCAATCCATATGCAGCAAGTTGTAGATGTGTGCAGTGCTCTGAACTATTGCTGAGGATGCAGATGACATCTTCTTTACTTATTGACTTCGACAGGCTTTCGCCTGCATGCCCCCAAAACCCTGTTACTAATACGTTCTTAGCGCTGCCCCAGGTCACGGTCTCGTTCCTGGTGGCCAGCAGCTTCTACACCAGCGAGACTTCTGTGGGAAGCATCCACGTCACAGCCCCGCTCGGCTTCAGCTTTCCCACGGTCTGCCAGGTCGCAGCCGCTGGCCTACTCCCTGCCACTTCCCTCTGTGGACTTTTAACCAAAAACAAGCCCTAAGCCCTAAGCCCTGAACCCTGGTTCTCAAGCCGGAAATCCCTAAGCCTGGTGCGCTGCAGCCCTGGACTGGGGTCTTCGTACCCTGCAGGTGCAGGATGCCATTCCGTCTTTGGAGACGGCCTCCTCGGCCCGCATCATCACTTCCCTGACCTACTCCTCTTGTGCTCAAGCTGCACTTTGCATCGCTGCGTGTGCGTGTGCGTGGGCGTGTGCGTGGGCGTGGGCGTGCGCGTGCGCGTGCGCGTGCGCTCCAGTGTTTCAGTTAGTTATTGGTTTTTATGCAGAGGGCAGAGGTGCCCATGTCACTCCTCTGCCAACGAAGCTGAGAATTTAGATCAGACACGCCTGGTTCACGATCCTTTTACGACTCAGGATCTCGAGTGACCAGTTTAGGCTGCTTTGCACCATCGTTGTTTGCAATACAGCTAGCTATACTCGTCTTAACCGAAAAGTTTTCGGTTGGTTTTTCAAAGCCGCCCAAAAACCTGATATCAAGCAGGTTGAAGGAGATGTCTTTGCATCCTACAGCATGTAGGCTGTGCGCCGTTTAGCGTGGTACTAGAAGGGATATTCCGAAATTCACGCGGGCAAAAGAGCGGGTTCGGCGTCTGTGCTTTCGGATTTGGTCTTGGCTTACACTTCCGGCTCAAGCTGCAGATTGCTGCCTTTCATTATTTGGCTTCGGGTTTAGGGTTCAGGGGTTTTTAAAAGAATCTCCATGGCCCGAGCCGCTCTTTGGAGCCTGAGCCTGTTGGCCACCCATGCAGTGACAAGTGGGAGCCTTCTGGACGATTTCGAGTGGCTGAAGCAGCATGGAGACGAAGCCATGGAGGTCGCCGGACATTGCCAGGATGTCATTACCCAGCTGTCGAAGCTCACCGAGCACTGCCGCATGACGAAGATGCTGGAGAACTTTGCGGCGAAGGTTGCTTGGGCCACTTGGGTGGCGATCGAACAAACTGGAAAAGACGGCTCGAACTCCTTCTTTGATTTGGCGAACTCTCCCCCAGCTCTGGCTATGAAAGAGAAGGCCCAGAAGGCGTTTTTGGCCACCACCCCAGGCAGCATGGATGAGGCCTGCAATCCGGAGTGCAACTTGCAGAACCATCACGAGTTCTTCGAGGCCTTCGCCGGATGCTATGCCCCCTCCGTGTGCGCAGCCAGCCCGCTTGGGAAGGGAGACTTCTTCCACCGGTGCAGCAGCTCCTTTCAGACCTTCATCATGAAGAACCTGAAGTTCGAGGCCCGACATTATTGTCAGAAAGATGAGCAGGGCGTCTATTGTCAGCAGCATGAAGCTGAGCTGAGGATTCGGAGCCCGCTGTGCTACAGCTTCTATACCAAGCCTGTGCCGGTGGACCTGCCCAGCATGGCAATGATTTGCGCCCACAAGGAGTGTGTCGAGGGTTGGAAGCAGGCTGAGGAGCATCCGACTTGCAGCGACTTGCTAATAGCAATTACCCGATCCCGCAGCAAGAACAGGAAGCAGATGGAGCGGGAAATTTGGCAAGTCCCTTTTCCAAACATATCGCTCTCATACTATGATGCCTGCATCCACCCGGCGAAACCCGGCTTGATCGTTTGAGACTGAGAGAGACCCCGAAGGGGCTGCCATGCTCAGGAGACAGCTTAGCAAAGGCGTCTCTGAGAGGCGTCGAAAGCTGCGGACGGCCTGCAAATGAGACACGCTGAATAGAGCCCCACGACACCCTCAACTTCTTAAACCCTAGACCCTCAACCCTCAGCCCTCAGCCCTCAGCCCTCAGCCCTAAGCCCTAAGCCCTAAGCCCTAAGCCCTAAGCCCCAAGCCCTAAGCCCTAAGCCCTAAGCCCTAAACCCTAAGCCCTAAGCCCTAAGCACTAAGCCCTAAGCCCTAAGCCCTACACCCTAAGCCCTAAGCCCTAAGCCCTGAACCCAAGCCCCAAACCCACACCAGGATAAGATTGCGTGTGTGATGCCGACTGCAGCTAGAAACCCAGGTTCGCGCCGCACAAGAGGTTCAGGGGGTGGGTTTAGGGTTTAGGGTTATTCGGGTTATTCGGGTTTAGACTCGTTAGACCGCTGTAGAGCAGCCCCTTGAGCAGCCGTCCTTACTTTGAGTCTGGAGGCTCAGGGGACCTAGTAACAGGTAAAAAGTAGAGTTACAAGTACCGTAATCATAGTTACCTGAATTATAACCCTACCTCTAACCTACTTACTAAGTCCCCCGGATAGCACCGAAGTGGTACTGAAGTGAAAGAAATCTTTCAAGAAACCTGCAGCATGAGCCTGCAGCAGTTTGTTACTGCGACGGAGAAATGCTTTGGTGGTTGTTGGTGCCTGGTGTCGAGTGCTTCTTCGAGTTGACGCGCGCAACCGCAACTTTCTATCATGTTATTCAGAACCTCATTGCAGAAAGCCTTTAGGGCGAGCAGCGAGATCGAGGCCTGAAGCCAAGTCGGGCGAACTTAAGTTTTAACCTTCTTTGTGTGTTGTGTGTTGATTGCTCTTCTGGGCGCAGGCCTGGGTAATCATAGGCTAAGTCATGTGCGTTTGGGCGCATAGGTTAGATGACTGCTCGTCGAGATAGTTGGCGCGCAGCGTTTGGGTTATGATGTGGGCCTTGCGAAGATAGGATGGGTTTTCTGAAGTTGGCTCGAGGTAGGCACCCTTAGCTTAAACGATGGATACTGGGTTTAGGGTTTAGGGAGGGCTCAGGGCTTCAAATTTAGGGTTTAGGGTTTAGGGTTATTTACGGCTTTGCAAGCTTCCTTTCCAGCCACAGGCGAGGGCTTCGTGAACACCGCGGTGATCCGGCTCGCAATTGCAACGGCCGTGCCGCGCGGGAGCCAGGTTGGGTTGACCTTTGCCCAAGAAACGATTCGGGTTCAGGGTTGCAGTTTTAGGGTTTAGGGTTTAGGGTTCAGCGTTGCAGTTTTAGGGTTGAAGGTTTTTGGGTTTTTCAGGCTTGGGTCGGTGTGTGACTTAACTTTTGCTAATACACTTCGTTTATCTAATGCTGCTATATCTTTAGGAAATGCTTTAATTAGTTTAAAAATTTCATCACAATATATCATTTTCTTCACTTTGTGGTCATTCTATTTAACTTCTGTTTTATTAAAGAATTTCGCATTCTCGCATATTCAAGTAGTGATTCACTTTATAGTTGTCTTTTCTTTTTTCTTACAGCATTGCATTTCTTTCATCTAATTCTTGGTATTTTACTTCTTTTTCTTATCTTCTTTTCTTGTGCTTGTAACAAGCACGGGCCCGTAATAATAATTTTTCGTGCGTCCATAAAGTCCTTACAAAATAATATTTTGAAAGGCCCTATTATATTCATTCACTGGTTTCGTTCACATAATAATATTAATGGCGCGCTTTGTTCACTTTGTTCACATAAAATTATTCACTTTGTTCACATAAAATTATTATTGTTCTCTTCACGTTACGGTAATACGATTAATAAAGTCATGAGTGAATAGAACAATAATAGTAATTTTTCCCTCTTTCCACAGTGCATTTCATGAGTCTTCCTGTAGCACCCATAACACACCTTGAGACCCTGTTAACGCCTGGTCTGGATAACACTCGTCCCTTAACCACATCTCCTAACTTAGTACCTTTTCCACCCACCGTTCACACCCTTGGAATCGCATGCCAAGTTAACCGCTCTCTCCCTGTCACACCTTGAGACCCTAACTCTCATATCTCGGTCTAACCGTTCACACCCTTGGAATCGAGTGCCAGGTTAACCACTCTCTCCCCGGAAGACCCGTGCAATGTTACTATTATATTGGGGGCAAGGGACGCGCGGCTTAATTATAATATTAATGTTGGGGTCTGTGGCTCGTGGGTGCTATTGACTGAAAAGGACCGCAGTCCAAATTGCAGCATGTTTCCCTAGACCCCAAACCCCAAACCCCAAACCCCAAACCCCAAACCCCAAACCCCAAACCCCAAACCCCAAACCCCAAACCCCAAACCCCAAACCCCAAACCCAAAACCCCAAAAACCACAAACCCCAAACCCAAACCCCAACCCCCACACCCCAACCCCAAACCCCAAACCCCAAACCCCAAACCCCAACCCCAACCCCAAACCCCAAACCCCAAACCCCAAACCCCAAACCCCAAACCCCAAACCCCAAACCCCAAACCCCAAACCCCAAACCCCAAACCCCAAACCCTAAACCCTAAACCCTAAACCCTAAACCCCTAAACCCTAAACCCTAAACCCTGCGGGTCTCTCCCTGGCAGGTGCGGCTACGCCTTGGGCTCACAAACCCGGCCCAGCTACCGTCGGAGGAACGGTGGAACGTTGCCACCTTCCAGGGCTTCGCGAAGCAACTTGGATTGAACGTTTAAATTGAAGGTTTAGGGTTTAGGGTGTGGCAACGTTCTTAGCGCGCGTCGTGGGCCCCATAGAGTGGCTTTCACGGGCCCACTCCTACGCGCGCGCATCGCGTGGCGGTACACCCACCCCAAACCACCCGGCGTATAGCATTGTAGGGTTTCGGCCCCAGACGTCTGGTTGGTGCTCTTATCCGCAGTGGGCCTGTTCCACTGCAGCCGTGCGGCTGTCTTAAAGCGTCCCTCGTTCAGTTCAGACAGCAGCGGACGAGGGGCTGGCCGCCCCGCGTGACCTCCAGTAAAGGCCGGGTGAGAGCCGGCCTGCTCAGGGCTTACCCGCAGCCGGAGAACGGGGCTGCCAAACCTGGCCTACCCAGCTCCACCTCCGGGAGTTAAGCCGGTTTTTCGGGGGGGTGCCGGCAAAGTCTTTAAGTTCGTCTCGGTGGGACCTGCTCACAACCCCTTTGTGTGACGGGGCCGGGGCGTGGAGCATCCTGGCAGCATCAAAACCCCGCGCGCTGTTGCGCCCGGATGTCCATGCAGAAGTGCGTGGGCTGGCTGAGAGCCAGCGGAGCGCCTCTTTGCAACCACTCCCTCATACAGATGGGAGAGGAGCCACGAAAACCGCGTGACACGTGCTCTATGAGCTGGTCCAGGACGAGCGAAAGGCAGCAGGTGCCATGTGCAGCAAGGCAACACCGTGCTCATGCGAGCCGACGATCCTTTTATGTCGAGCTGTCGCTGCAGCCCATTTTTGTTTTGTAAAAGAGCCGAACATGTCATTTTTTCTTTCTTGTTTGAAAAATAGTGTTAACTTCCATTCTGACTGACAAGATGGCACGCGTGAATTTGAAAATGAACAAGTTTCAGACTGATTTTGCGGCAAAAGAATCTTGTTTTTCATGTTGGCCGTGGTGTTTTTGCATGCTGTTCTTGGAGATGTGAAAGTTTTGTTTTTCAAGCCAAGTTAGTAAGGCTCATCTTGGTTTCAAATTTTTACCCGGGGGGAGGGGCCGGGAAGGGGGGGGGGGGGAAGGGGCCGGTCGGTTGGGGGGGGGGGGCGCTCGCGGGCGGGGGGGGCCGGTTGGTGGCGCCGGCGCGGGGTGCTTGGGTTTAGGGTTTGAACCTTTGACACTCAAAGGCTCGACCGCCTGGCGCGCACGGCTGTGTGCTCATCTTGCCAAGGCGTTCAGCAGCCACAGCTTTTCCTGGGCTGCACGTGGCATGTGGTCAGGTCGCTCGCTGAGCGCTCGGACGGCTTCGGGCTCCGAGCCCTCAGCCGGACTTTAGGGTTTAGGGTTTAGGGTTTAGGGTTTAGGGTTTAGGGTTTAGGGTTTAGGGTTTAAGGTTTGAGGTTTTGGGCTCGGAGTTTAGTTTGAGGGTTGAGGCTTTTGCAGCAGCTTTTGATTGGGCGGTATGGTTAACTCTTGTGCTTCAGGTTGTAGAGCCTCGTGCTCTTAGTGCTGAAATCTGGATTCGGCATCGTGAACCTTGGCCCCAAATTCCGAGGCTGGAGGAGTGCGAGACTACGGTTGTGACCTTTCAGCTGTTGCAAGCCCTGAACCAGGCCGCTGAATATTTGTTACGCCGCTGTTCCATGAATATGTTTTTGACAGAGTCAGGTACCCTGCAGGTGGGGTGGGGGGGGGGGCGGTGTCAAGGTTGAGAGTCTCGAGTGTGGGAGTTGGGTGAAGATCGGTTTCACACAAGTTTTGAAGTCCCCTTTGGCGACACTTCGGCCTAAGAAATGTGCCGCCTAAGCCCCAAACCCCAGACACGACTTCTTACATCGGGTCCGTCCTGCTGGTTGTATGACCAAGAGCATGGTGGGATGCGAAACTACACGTAGCCCAGGAAGGGCCTATTTTGTGTTTGTGTTTGTCTGTGTGTGTTGTTTTGTTCTGGCTGTTTTTCTTGGCTTTTCCTAGGAACACATTCATTTCCAGAGGAAACCATTGTCGCCTTTGTTGGCAAATTTCCAGATTCCTCACTTGGCAGGAAGGCAGGAAGGCAGGGAAGGAAGGACACCGGAAGGCGAGAAGAAGGTTAGGAGAAGCAGGGAAGGAACCAGGAAGGAAAGGAAGGAACCTCACAAAACAAGAAAGCGACTGAAACTTGCATGGGTTGCTAGGACGACTCCTGGGTTGTCCTTGGAATTTCCTCAAAGGTTCGCAAGATCTTTGCAAATCCAAAACCATTGTCAACCTTATGAAGTATTGCGATGAAGGAGAATCAAGTCTGACATGGGCTACTGCTAGTGCTACTGCTACTGCTACTGCTACTGCTACTGCTACTGCTACTGCTACTGCTACTGCTACTGCTACTGCTACTCCTACCAAGGCTAACACAGTAGAAAGTTCTGCAGCGATTTGTTTTTTCGTTTAGGACTGATGGGCGTTCGCCACTTTAGAGTACAAGGCCCTGGCATTCACAAGTCTTAAGCCTTCAATCTGACTTGTCAAGCCTTCAAGCTCTCAATGCATACTTTGAACCATGAATCACAGACCTTAAGCCCTAAGCCCTAAGCCCTAAGCCCTAAGCCCTAAGCCCTAAGCCCTAAGCCCTAAGCCCTAAGCCCTAAGCCCTAAGCCCTAAGCCCTAAGCCCAAGCCCGAAGCCCTAAGCCCTAAGCCCTCAGCCCTAAGCCCTAAGCCCTAAGCCCTTAACCCTAAACCCTAAACCCTAAACCCTAAACCCTAAACCCTAAACCCTAAACCCTCAACCCTAAACGTCAGCTTCCCAGAGTCGGTTCCGAAGCAGGCGCTGGTGTCTCGAAGTGCCACAGGGCAAGACCTCCGGCCCGGTTCCCTGCCACGTTCTTATGTTCCTTGATGAGGGGTTGAGGGTTTAGGGTTTAGGGTTTGATGTGCAGGGAGTATATATGGGAGGTTGAGTTCAAATTTGAAGAGATGTGCAATGATGCAGTGCATTTCAATGTACCGGGACACGAATAGGACTGAGTGCCTCCAAGCCCCCGGAATCAGTTGCGGCATGCCAGGCTCCCTCAGCGTCTACGAGTTCTTTTTTGCGTACCCGGAACGCACCGCGGATGAGGCAGCCAACGTGGGGTCTGGCCTCGTTACCCGGAGCGAGGCGGCGGGGGCTTCTGCAACACAACGCGAGTGCGCTGAAAGCCGCAGCGGAGCCCTAGGGCCGAAGCCTGTAGCCCTAAGCCCAAAGCGCCAATCTCGATAGCAGTCGATAAAATTTGAGAACGTTGGAGAACATTGGATAACATTTGAGAGCATTTGACAACTTTGGATAGCATTGGGTAACATGAGATAACATCTGATATCTCTCGATATCATTGGAGAAGATTTTGATATCTCAACCTGGCTAACTACTCAATCCAGGTGCGTATCACTTTGCCGCCTGGATTCCACGCTCCGCCGGACTGCCTCTCAGGAGGGGGTCTTGGGGGTGTAGGGTTTAGGGTTTAGGGTTTAGGGTTTAGGGTTTAGGGTTTAGGGGTTAGGGGTTAGGGTTTAGGGGTTAGGGTTTAGGGTTCAGGGTTTAGGGTTTAATTAGGGGTGTTGAGGGGGCTGGGTGGACAGGATTCAGTGGTTTCCGGGTTTTGGGGCTCTCAGGGTCTACTGCTCGATACTGCTCGGGGAGTTTTGACCAAGGTTTTTTGATGATCTGGTTTCGAACACCACGAAACACGTAGTTGGAGGGCAGCGCGTAGCCGTACGGCTGTCTTGGCTTGTCAGATTTTCAAAGAGTTGGGAACGGGGGGAGAGGAGGAGGGGCGAGTGGCAGTGCGATGTTAGCCCTATACACAGACTTTGTTGTGTTCAGCACTGCCTTTAACTCGCGGCGCAGCCCGCAAAGACAAAACGATTGCCTGCATCTCCTCTCTTGCGTCTTTACTATTTTGGGACGCTTATGCATCCCCCCAACGCCAAGTGCGGCTACACCCCGCGGACCGGATTTGGGAAGGACCTGGTTTCGGAAGTTTTTGCAAGCGGGTGTGCACCGTGCACCTTCAGCCGAGTCACGGGTGTCAATCGAAGGAGCACCGAACTTCATGAATGCCAATTCTCACAAGAACCGAAGTGCAAGTGCGAGGAGCTGTACTGATGACAAGCTAATACTTCCACCCCAACCCCGCCGAAAGCAGAGCGGCAGAGCCACGGCACCTCGAACGTGTGGGATTGTTTGCACATGGCCTTGTGTGATCCACAGCTGCTTCGGCTGCTGTGTTTCTTTTGTGTGGAGTTGTCACTTGCGCAGTTGTTCCACTCGATGTACGGGTATTTACGGCCCAGGTTTTTCAAGTCGCCATAAAGTTAATGCCCTCCCCATCATATAACTACAATGGGGGTAGTTAGTATTAGGGGGGTAGGGGGGGGTTAATATTAGGGGGAGGGGGTTAGAACTCCCGAATTCCAAAGACATCAACCCGAAACCCTATCCCCCAAACCCCAAACCCTAAACCCTAAACCCTAATCGCAGTCCTCCAGGCGCCAGCAGCACCAGCAGCTCCATCATCGCCGGGAACACGGCTGCCAAACTGCCTGACTTCGTCGCTTGCACGGGTTCCGGCCAGATCCTCAGGGCTTAGGGTTTAAGGACCCTAAACCCTAAGCCTTCAACCCTAAACCCTAAGCCTTCAACCCTAAACCCTAAACCCAAGCCCTAAACCCTAAACCCTAAACCGTGAACCCTAAACCCAAAGGGGTGTAGAGGGCTGAGTTGGTTTAGGGCATGCTTGGGCTTCAGGTCGGATTCTTACGGCCACCTTGAGGAGCCTCATCAGCCCGCTGGTGACGTATCGGATGCGCCTTGGGGTGGTTTAGGGTTTAGGGTTTGGGGTTTAGGGTTTGGGGTTTAGGGTTTAGGGTTTAGGGTTTAGGGTTTAGGGTTTAGGGGTGTGCTGGAAGTAGTTTGCTTTAGCAACTTGGGGGTTTACGATGTTCGGGGTACCTTGTTGGGGTCCTTCTTCTAAGGGATCCTACTGTTTGGGTTGTTTCTAGGGTTCCCTGATAATCGTAAAGCCCCACTTTAGTATCCTGGTTTCAATGAACAACATGAGGGCTTAGACTAAGCCTCAAACAGTAAGCCAGCCAAAGCCCAGAACGCGAGTATGATCCAGCTGAGGAGCATCACCGTTCAGAACCCGCCGGCGGACTTCGAGTACTCCTCCCAGGACTCATAGGGGACACCCTCAACCCCACACCCTAAACCCTAAACCCTAAACCCTAAACCCTAAACCCTAAACCCTAAACCCTAAACCCTAAACCCTAAACCCTAAACTCTAAACCCTAAACCCTAAACCCTAAACCCTAAACCCCTAAACCCTAAACCCTAAACCCTAAACCCTAAACCCTAAACCCTAAACCCTAAACCCTAAACCCTAAACCCTAAACCCTAAACCCCATTTGCAAGCAGCCCCAAGTCCAAACCCTTTGAAGGCGCACCCGAACCTTCCTTGCATGGGCCTGCATCCTTCTGGAAGCCCTAAACAGCGACTCCTTGCCTCCCTAGGGTTAGGGTTAGGATTTAGGGTTTAGGGTTTAGGGTTTAGGGTTTCCTGAATCAGAGGATTCCCGATGGCAGCTGCAAGTGGACTCGGCTGCTGCTGGCGGCCTCGAAGGTCCCGCGCTGCGCACGCTGAGAGAGGTGGGTTTAGGGTTCAGGGGCGGTTGGGGATTTCAGGCCGAGGGCCCCATTTTGTATGGGGATAGCAAGGGTTTGAGGCTAAGGTTTGGGTTCAAGGTTTTAGCTGCTAGCGGTTTGAACGCCTTGTACAGGTTTTAGGATGCCTTTCAGGTGCAGCTTCTGCCGGGCAACGTTCACGAAGACAGCACCGGATTCTGCATGATCCACTTCCGGACAGCATCAGAGGTGCCTGCTTTGGGCTCCGTTTACGTCCAAGTGCCCTGGGCCTTAGATCCCAACTGCACTGGCGGCCTCTACGACGCGCAGTCCAACGAGCTGGGGGGCAATCAAGTGGCGCAGGGAACGCTGTGCACGGTGCAGCGGGCTGAGCTCCCTGGGCAGCCGCATGGCTTAGTGCTAGGTGGGAGCTTTGAAAATGCATGTTGGAGGACCTTTCATCGGTCCGACAAAGGTGACCCCCACGCAGATGTGCGCGCGCCCTCGCAGGTCCGTTGACGAGCCCTCTTTCCAGCAACACAGCCTACCTCCTGGCTTTTGGACTGCGCACCAGCGGCCCAACACAAGACACCTCGCCCACATGGATCGTGAAGACACGTTCTCCAGACGGCGAAAGCATCGACACATCACGGCCTATGGCCACGTTTCCTGGGGGCGCGTTGGCATTTTTTTCTGGTCTGGAGTATGCATAATCTCAGAAATGTCTCGAACCTCCGACCCAACCCCCAAAACCCTCAACCCCGCAAGGAGACCCCAACGCCTATAGATGACACAGGTTTCAAGTTCGCCGCCTCCTCGGCTCCATGTCCTTCACGTCCCCGGCGCTGACGTCACCACCTGGCCAGGCCTATCCTGTGGATGTGGACTTCACCCTTGCTGTGGCAGTTACTCGTGCTGGGTTTAGGGTTTAGGGTTTAGGGTTTAGGGTTTAGGGTTTAGGGTTTAGGGTTTAGGGTTTAGGGTTTAGGGTTTAGGGTTTAGGGTTTAGGGTTTAGGGTTTAGGGTTTAGGGTTTAGGGTTTAGGGTTTAGGGTTTAGGGCTGTCTTTCAGCAACTTCTGCCTTTGCAAAGCTTCTGAGTTCAGCTTCGGAGTTCAGGAAGCTACGACTGTTGTAGGATGTCAGAATCAGCCAAGGTCAGATCGGGAGCATTGGTGCTGTACCCTCCGCCCTTCGTCAGCGCGGTGTGCGAGAGCCCGCAGCTTCTCGCCACCTACACCCTGCCGCAGGGCACCACGTGCCAGATCCAGGGTTCCCCAACGGGGTGGAGGAGCCTGGGATTTTTCCCCTCGTCATATGTGTGGCATCTTGCTTTTTGACATGAGCGGCGCCGGCTGTGAGGTATGTATTTTCATTGTAGATATCAGAAAGCATTGTGCCTGACAGGCTTGTGTTTTTTGGGAGGATAGTGTGCGTAATGAATCATGTAAGGCTTACAAAATGCGTACACAGCAGACACGCTAGCGGCTAGCGATGATCTAGAAGGTGCGGGTACATCAGCAATTTTGCGTGGCCCAGACTTTTGACGAGACAGACTGATAATTATTTTTTATCACGAACTATGTACATTGATCAGTGACAAAACAACGAGTATGCCATCCGTTCGCAGTATGGCCGTTGCTAGGACGGCTTTGTTGCTTGTAGTTGTGTGTGTGTGTGTCTACTCTGCAATCAGTGAACGTAGCTTTCTCGACAAGACAGAGATTGCGTTTAGTCGCGGGAAACTTGATAGGAGACAACGACAGGAGCTGCAAAACCAGACACATGTCACGAAATGCGCCAGCTGCAACTCGTTCCGAAAACAGGAGCGCCGAATCGCAGCAACACAAACAAGTAAGAACAGCCTGCAGATGCAAATGCTACCAAACCAACAGCTGGATTGAATTCGTCCTCAGGCTCGTCTAGACAAGTGTCTGTTGTTTTCGATCAATGTGTTTGTTGATTCCCCAGTTCAATGTTGCAGTCGTCATGCGAGTTCTCAGAGGGGAGTGCTTTGGGTTTAGGGTTTAGGGTTTAAGGTTTAGGGTTTAGGGTTTAGGGTTTAGGGTTTAGGGTTTAGGGTTTAGGGGACAAGCTGCTGGAGGTATTAAGCAAGTATGAGAAAGCGCGCTGTTCCATATCTCACAATCGGTCGTTTCTGTCGCAAACCTCGAAGGGGACACCGCTCACACGTAAACAACGAAAGAAACGGCGTGGTAGTCAGAAGGGCACCCCAGACCCCAATTAAACCCTAAACCCTAAACCCTAAACCCTAAACCCTAAACCCTAAACCCTAAACCCTAAACCCTAAACCCTAAACCCTAAACCTCTCTTTCTTATATATATTTAAACCCTATAGTCCTTCGTGGCTAAGGGTCATTTCTTCGTGGCTAAGGGTCATTTCTTCGTGGCTAAGGGTCATTTCTTCGTGGCTAAGGGTCATTTCTTCGTGGCTAAGGGTAATTTCTTCGCTAAGGGCCATTTCTTCGTCGCTAAGGGCCATTTCCTGGTCGCTAAGGGCCATTTCCTGGTGCTAAGGGTCATTTCTTCGTGGCTAAGGGTAATTTCTTCGTGGCTAAGGGTAATTTCCTTCGTGGCTAAGGGTAATTTCCTTCGTGGCTAAGGGTAATTTCTTCGTGGCTAAGGGTAATTTCTTCGTGGCTAAGGGTAATTTCTTCGTGGCTAAGGGTAATTTCTTCGTGGCTAAGGGTAATTTCTTCGTGGCTAAGGGCAATTTCTTCGTGGCTAAGGGTAATTCCTTCGTGGCTAAGGTTAATTTCTTCGTGGCTAAGGGTAATTTCTTCGTGGCTAAGGGTAATTTCTTCGTGGCTAAGGGTAATTTCTTCGTGGCTAAGGGTAATTTCTTCGTGGCTAAGGGTAATTTCTTCGTGGCTAAGGGTATTTCTTCGTGGCTAAGGGTAATTTCCTTCCTGCCATCCCACCCCCCCCCTCCCCCACCCCCCCCCCCCCCACACCCACCCCCTCCCCACGCCCCCCCCCACCACGACACCCACCCCAACCCCCACCCCCCCCCCACCCCCCCCCACCCCCCCCACCCCCACCCACCGCCCCCCCACCCCCCCCCCCCAAACCCCCCCCAACCCCACCAACCCCCCCCCACAACCCCCCCCCCACCCCCCCAAAAACCACCCCCACACCCACACCCCCCACCCACACAACCACCCCCCCCCCCACCCCCCCCCCCAAAAACCAAAACCGACGGTTTCAGGATTTCTTGTCCCGCCCCTCCATGGGGGCCGATGAAATGGTTCGTGGGTAGGATGGTCCATGACGGAGTGAGGTTGGAGGACAGGGCTTGCTGATAAGAAATGTAAACTTTTTATTTTCTTAATGTTTTGGGATTCTCTGGGTGGGTGGGTTTTTTTCCGTTGCCTACACACACTGCTGGCCTAGTAAATGCTCGAACTTGAGATGCTGAACCCTAAACCCTAAACCCTAAACCCTAAACCCTAAACCCTAAACCCTAAACCCTAAACCCTAAACCCTAAACCCTAAACCCTAAACCCTAAACCCTAAACCCTAAACCCTAAACCCTAAACCCAAAACCCTAAACCCCTCTGGTACCAGAGGAGCTTTCGCCTGATCCTCTGGAGCTCCGCCTCGCCATGGTCCGCCAGCCGTCCCTACCACTTCCGCGTCCTGGCGGATGCTCAGGAGAGCCCCCCCCGTGACCTAATAGAGGGGGCGTGAATAGTTAGGGTTTAGGGTTTAGGGTTTAGGGTTTAGGGTTTAGGGTTTAGGGTTCAGGGTTTAGGGTTTAGGTTTTAGGGTTTAGGGTTGGGGTTATTTAATAACCCCAACCCTTAACCTTATTAGGGCCTTAGAAGTTAGAATAGGGTTTTGGGGGTTATTGTGGTATAAGTATAAAGGGAGCCATAAGGGAAGACTGTAAGTACTGATTCCGATCCCTATATTGCCCCAATCCCGGACAAGACCAAACAAGGCAGAGCCCGAAAACCCAATTGCCGTCCTTGGCTCTTTGAACCCTTTTCTTTATCCATCTTTTCAACGCGGTTTGCCTTTTCTGTCCTAAAGGAGCTCCCCTTCTTCCGCCGCAGTTGGACTGTCCAGCTGTTTGCGGGCGCCATGCAGAGTTCTCAGGAGAGGGTTTAGGGTAGGGTTTTGCCAAGATTTGCTGGAAGGGCGTCGGGCGCAGGTTCGGTATGTGCTTTTCGGGTCTGATTTATCGGAATTTATCGAGGAGAAAGGCTTAGTGTTTGGTATTGGGAACGAGCCAGGAGACCCTCACCAGCAGCTTCGGTGCTTTGGACGCGCTGCCGGGCTTCGTAGTGGGATCCCTCTCAGTGGAGCAGTGGCGGTGGCGCGGGTGGCTCGCAGACCTCGTGGTCGCGTGCCAGAACCCTGCCCAGGGCGCACGCAGCCAGGTGGACCTGGAAATTCGAACATTTAGGGTTTAGGGTTTAGGGTTTAGGGTTTAGGGTACCCCTTCTACCTTTTGCCCAGACAGGGCACCCTTCATCCTTAGGTTGGTTTGGGTGATCCCCTCCAGGTGAGTGTGGAGTTTGTCGGCCCGGAGCTCGCCTCTGGAGACGAGGTGGGGTTTGACCCTACGGCCGAAGCCCCGAACTCCCAAACCCTCCAAACCCTTCGCCTTAAACCCCCTAAACCCTTCACCGTAACCCCTAAACCCTAAAGCCTGAACCCTAAACCCTAAACCCTAAACCCTAAACCCTAAACCCTAAACCCGAAACCCTAAACCCTAAACCCTAAACCCTAAGCCAGGTCTGGATCCGGGCCCCTCCAGGCATCCTCCTGCATCCTTTCTCCTGCTACGTGCAGGGCTCCAACGGGGCGCTGGTACCAGCCCCTTGCAACTGGGCCCTGACACCCCTCAGACACCCCTTAAAACTCCCAAACCGCTTAGGAAGCCTTAAACACCCCTTAAATACCCCCTGAAACACCCCTTAAATACCCCTTAAGCCCTTTACCCTTACACCCCCGAAAGCCCCAAAATCGCAATCAAAAGACTCGCAAAACCAAAGCTTCCCCACCTCCAAGGCGAGGTGCCCGAGCCCGCCGTCGAGCCTTGCTTCCCCCACGTCTACGACACTCGGCCCTGTTAAGGGTGTAGGGTAGAGGGTTATTAAAACGGGTTTAGGGTTTGGGGTTAGTACATAGGGTTTAGGGTTTAGGGTTAGGGGGCTCAGGCTTAAGGGTTTAGGCTTTCGGGCGAGGGTGTGCCTTCCTTCTGTATAGAACTTTACCTGGATGTGAGTGCTGCTGCGTAGCAAGCCGGTCCTGCAGCACATCTGGCCGGTAAGCCTCTTCCTTCTGCGTTCAAGGCAAACGGGGTTTCCGAATTCAGGGGTACACTTCTTGGGGGGTAAGGGATTCATTTCTATTTTGGGGTATAAACTGGGTGCCCTATTTTGGGAAATACCCAATGCCTCCGGGCAGAGCTGAATGCATTGCGTCCCAGCGCGGGAGATCAGACAGTGTGGTCGCGACCGCCATGATCGCTGACTCCGTAACTAAGAGCATGAAACCCGGCTTGTAACTGCGGGTATTGTGCAAATGTCAATAAGCGATTCAGGGGCAGACGCCGGACAACTGTGTGACCCGTACGGGTCATATGGGCACATCACACCGCAGCAGATGCGACCTGCATTGGCGCATATCGGCTTCCCTGGAACTCAGACCACAAAAAGGGGTTGCGTGTGAACCCTTCTTCTGCGCAGACTCCCCTACGTAGATCTGAGCGCAACTTTGCGTAGTATCAAGTCGAAGCTCGATAGGGCCCCTGAACTACTTGAGCTTACTGGTGGTTGCTGCGTTAAGTGCAGCCTGGCAGAGGGAATCTGGAAGGGAGATTGCCAGCAATGTCCGTTCCCGTCGGCCTGGCCCAGAACTTCTGACCTACAACGAGTGCCAGACAACTTGCAAGAGATGAGCGGTCCTCTATACGGGGCTGGATGCACCCGCATCTGTTCGCGACGCCAAACAAGACTAGGTAGAGGGGAGAAGTCCGCCAAGCGGACGTACTGCTAAGTAAGTAAGTCCAGAGCCGCATTGTCAACCCGAAACACCCCAACCTCACGGAGTCCAGAACATTTGCGTGCAGCAGCCGCAAAAACCAGGGTTGCAAAACCGAACATGCGAAACCCCTAAAGCCCTGAAGCCCTGAACCCTAAAGCCCCAAGCCCTAAAGCCCTAAGCCCTAAACCCTAAGCCCTAAGCCCTAAGCCCTGAAGCCCTAAAACGCCTAGCTTCTAAGGAGACCCGGCCCTGCGCCGATGCGGCGCCTGGCCTTCAGCCCGAGGACGCTGGCTTCTCCCACCGGCAGGGAATGAAGCGCCTTGCCGGCACTTTCTCTTTGAGCACCCATTTTTGTTAGAATATTTTTTGTGGAAGTGGAAACGCCTCTTTGCAGCGCTCTTTGAGCACCCAGTTTCAAGAGGTCAAGAGGGTTACAGGATTTTAGGGCGGGGGGCGTTCGGAACATCGAGTTCTGAATTGTTGGAGGCTCCGGGCACTCCAAGAAAACCCGGGCCCGAGCCGCTGATTGTCATGATGCACGCCCTTTTTGGGGTGGTCGGTACAGCCCGCAACAGAAAGCTTGTTCATGTTTCCATCATTTTTTCCAGAAATGAAGAATAGAGTCGACCATGCGCGCAAGGGTTCGTTCCGAGGCCTCCGCGAAGCAAAAACACCCCGAAGCTTTCGGCGCCCTAGCCACCCTCCTCGTAGCTACAATTAGGATATACGAGCTTGTGGCTCCGGCCGCCGACGCAAAAGGTCGATTGGAGGCTCAAGGCCTAAGAGGGGCCCCTGAGTTTCCCTGCTGGAGGGGTAGGTCCTTTTGGGAGCTTGTAGGGGTCCCTAGCCGGGGCCTGGAGGACTCTTTCACGGTTGAATTCGCTAGAGCAGAGACAGTTGCAGCTTTTAAATTCAAAGTTGCAGCTGCGCGGACTTTTCGTTTATGGTCACGAAGCTGCTGATGTTTCTTCTGTGTTCCCGAGAGATTGTGGTAACTGTATTCTTTTGCTTCTAGCAGGAAACTCTAAGGCAGCTCCCTGAAATTTCCCATCCCGGGTCAGAACAAAAGACCTGTCACTCGGTCCGTGACTAACTCCCTTGAACAATGCGAAGAGGTGTAGTTGAAATCAGTTTTTGTGTGAAAGAAAAGGCAGCAGTCGGATCGAACGGGAATGGGATTGATCTTTCCGTGATCCCCACACAGCCCGAGGCTCAGCCTCGGAAGCACCGCTGCCGGGACAGTCCGGATCCTCCTCGAGGCGACGGCCCTGGTCGCTGCCCAGGCGGCCCAGGTGGGCAAGTGGCTGGTGAGCTGCTGGCGCGATGTCTTGGAGACTTGGAGGGGGGGTTTAGGGTTTAGGGCTTAGGGTTTAGGGTTCAGGGTTTTGGGTTTAGGGGGCTCCCCAGAGTTTAGACGGTGGCTAGGATTCGGATGCGGGCCGGCGCACAACGAACACCACAAGCCCAACACGTCCAATTAAGAACCCGACCCTAAAGCCCTAAACTGCAAAGGACAAATCCTCAAAACCTCGCAAAAAATGTCAAGACACCCAGGAGACGGCGGTTGGCACTGCGGACGGGTTCTCCGTTTGGCATTGGATGGAGGCGAGCCAAGATCGAAACCCACGCCCAGAACAGCAAAGGCCTTGACAAATTCTGATAAGCCGAACTCCGCCTCTAAAGCCCCCAAAACTCCATGAATGCGGTGCTTTGAGCCGAAACCCTGGACCCTAAACCCTAAACCCTAAACCCTAAACCCTAAACCCTAAACCCCAAACCCTAAACCCTAAACCCCAAACCCTACACCCTAAACCCCAAACCGCGGCTTTCTTCTCAGGTCCTTGCCTTCCGTCCTTCCGGGCTCCTCCCCGAGGAGACGGCAACCGTGTCCCTGGCGTGGTGGATGCTGTCGCCTCTTGCGGCCCATGGACTTCAACTTACGAAATGTTGGGTTTAGGTTTAGGGTTTAGGGTTTAGGGTTTTGGGTTTAGGGTTTAGGGTTTAGGGCTAGGGTTGTTAGGGTTGATGACTTTGGGGGGTTTGCATGAAGGCTTACAATCGGGCTTGTGATGTATGCAGGGACTTTTGGGAGGGGCTTAGCTTTGGCGATGGCTAAGGGTTAGAGGCCGTATGAGGCCGTATTAACCTTCCAGATAAGGAGATGAGTGGTCATCTCCTCTGGCATTTTTACGCATTTCTGCTTCATATCTTCTTGTCCTGTTTAATTTGTTGTTTAAGATGAAAAAATCAATTCGCCCCGATACACCATTCAACCAAAAAATGGGCCCGGGTCCTTTTAAATGAAAAACCAAGTCGGGCCGATTTAAAGCCCCCCGGGCCTCCTGCCCGGACGCTCGGGAATTTCGGCAGCGTTAAATGCTTGTAATGAAACGTTGAAAAAATGGTTGGCCGGGTAAACATTTTTAAATCTTACAAGGACGTGAGCCTGGAATCCTCTTACTATCTTAAGTTGAGAAACTAAGTCGAGCCGATTCATACTTAGTGTTGTTCAACAGATTGTTGGCATCCTGGGGAAACGCTCCCCGAAACCTCCGGCGGCTTCCGGGGGCCCCTGGAGCCCGGGCCCGTTGAAACTCTAGGGTTTAGGGTTTAGGGTTTAAGGCTTTTGAGGGCTCTCGCGACCTTCGTAAGCCCTCAGCCCTATAACCCCTAAAAATCTGGCTCCTGAGTCCCTGGAAGCTGCCTCCCGGCCCCCTTTTTGGGTTTGGGGTTTAGGGTTTAGGGCTTAGGGTCCCTGCAAGCCAAGAGCATCTGGACCTTTCGCAACTTCAGATTTCTTAGAACTTTGATTATCTCTGCAACTCTCAAATTCTGATATATATATATGTATATATATATAAATATAAATATAAATATATGTATATAAATATAAATAAATATAAATATAAATAAATAAATATATATATATATGTATATATATATACATATATATATACATATATATATATATATACATCGTGCTTTAAACAATCGCCAAGCTTTGGAGTCTTAATCTTCGGGGCCAAGCCAAGCCCAGGTTTCCCCCCAAAACCCCCTAAAAAACTCAGAATCTTGGGAGCAGTCTTTTTTGAGTTGTTGTTGAGTCTTCGAAAATTTTATAGGTAATGGCCGCTTTTTTGAGTCTTCGAAAATTTTATAGGTAATGGCCGCAATCTTAGAAGTTTTTTCGTTGAGTACGTCTAAGCTTTTGGAACCAAAAGAGGCCGCTTCGGAGGCCCCAATGAGACCGGGAAGGCCAAATCTGATCATTCAAGCAACGTCTTGTTGAGGGTTTAGGGTTTAGGGTTTAGGGTTTAGGGTTTAGGGTTTAGGGTTTTATTTTTTCAATGCTTCCACGTTTTTCGGTGGGCCCGGGAAACCCTCTAGGCCGAAGCTTGCAAACATAGGTCAAAGTCCAGGTAAAAGGCCGACATAAAAGGGCGGTATTTGAAAAGTTTGGTAGTCTTCGAGGCAGACAACACTCCAAGAGGCAGCACCGAAGAGACCCTAAGGGTCCTACGTACGTATGTCTATATTTCGGGTTTAGGGTTTAGGGTTTAAGGTAGATATGTGTAGATTAGCCGAAACGTGTCACAATACTTTTCGTGGCGACAAACTCGGATCCCCCCAGAAAGCAGCCAGAGGCGGGGGGCAGCCTTCGCGTGCGGCCTCCCAGCGACGGGCTCGGATCCTTCGACCTCGCCAACGCCCTCGACAGGTTCTCCTGGGGAAACCTGCCTCGCAGCAGCTCAGCTGCTGAGTCGGTGCAGGCAAGCGCAACGATGCTCCAAGTGGCGTTGTGCTGTGAGCTGCTGAGCAGACGAAGCTATCACTTCGAGTTTGGCGTCCGCCACCCGACCGCAGCGAGGATGCCGGATCCCGCCCAGCCCGAACTCAACATCTGGATCTTCGATACTCTGATGAAGGATGGAGCTGTGAAGCACTACGGCCAAATTCGTGGCTACAGGAGACTGGGCAGTATTTTTCAGCTTTGGATGGTCGAACTTTGTGGCGTTGCGCCACCCGACGCCCTAACCCCCCCCCTCCTCCTCCCAACAGAAAGTAAGCAGCCCAGGAGCATCCTCCGTCCCAAAGCAGCCCTGAGTTCACGAATCCTGAACCAACCAGCTTACTCCACACCTTGGGATGTCTGGCGGTTCTTCATAGGGATGATAGTATCCCCGATCATAGTCCCTACTAAGGACTGCTAGTATAACGGAGAGCATCCCAATCTACACCCCCCAACCCCCCCCCAAACTCGTACCGGGCCAGGATCTTCCGCCCCTTTGCACGGGCCAGCGTCGAGCTGGAAAGTGAGCTGGTGGTGGGCGGCGTGGGCACTCTGGCTCTACAGTAAACCCCCAAAAAAGTTGAAAGACCTTTAAAGGACAAATGGTGCTGGCATTCCCTTTGCTTTGCTCTTAGGGATCGAGGCTATTGAGTTTCCAACTTTTTGGCTTCTACTATCGAGATCTTCAGGATGGTTAAGCAGCGAAAGCGAGTCAGGCAACGCGGATACGTACCTTTCAGGGTTATTTCGGGGTTGAGTTGGGGATCTAGCCTGCATGCACAGCAAACTCAACGTGCCAGAGCTTCTGCCTTATGACTCTGACGGGAACCTTTTTGGGGAGTTGGGGGGGGGGGGGGGGCAAGTCTTGATCCTCTCCCATGTAACCTCCACACGAGAAACCCTCCATAATCCTTCGCCCGCTCGCCGAATGACCCGACGCCATGCGCCAAGCTTGCAAGCCCTGCCCAAGGAAGCCTAAATAGCCCGCAAAGCACTAAAGTCACAAAAGCTCTTGCTTTGAAGTTGTGCTCTTAAAGCCCGCAAAGCACTAAAGTCACAAAAGCTCTTGCTTTGAAGTTGTGCTCTTAAAGCCCGCAAAGCACTAAAAGTCACAAAAGCTCTTGCTTTGAGGTTCTGCTGCCCCCCTCCTCCCCAGCCCCATTCGCCAGGTCAAGGGCTGCAGGAGCGTACCATCTCCCTCAGCTTTTCGCTGCCTTTCGCGACCGCCTTGTGCCGGGACTGCGTTTCAGGACTGGTCCCTGGATGGACCACAGCAAAGCATCATTTCCCAAACCCAAGGGCCTCACATGGATCAGGTGAGCATCAAGCCATAAATGAAGGCTTTCATGAAACCCCAGAAGGCTCTTCTGGCGGGCTCGGTGGGCAGATTCAGAGCTGTTGCGTGAAGAGCCGAAAGCTGTCGCCCGCAATCCCCCCACATCCCAAAGCTCCCTAAACTCTAAACTTAATAAACCTAAACCCTGAACCCTAAACCCTAAACCCTCAACCCTCCCAAGGCACAGCAGGTGCCAACTCCGGCTGCTGGCCCCGCGCGGGTGGCAGTTCCCCGCCGCCAAGCACCGAATGGTTTGCAGGGCGTTTGAGAGGCGTGTTTGGGGTTTCGGGTGGGTTTAGGGTTTAGGGTTTAGGCTTAGGGTTTAGGGTGCTTCTGGGGCTTTGTAGGTCAGGCTGGAGGGTTTCGCAGGCGTGGTTCGTTGCGAAGAACTACTTGTCTGAGGAACCCTGGCTGGCCTGGGATTGCGGCATCGTGACGAGGGGTTTGGGATTCGTGGGAGCTCTCCGGAGCCAGGGTTGTGCCTTGGGGCATTTTTTGTGGAGCGATATGGGGGCTTTCAGTCCTAGAGGTATAGGTCCTCCAGCTGACGTTGGAAGCGTTGTTGGTCACGTCCCTCCTTCCCAAGCCTAGTCCAGCTCAACTGCTTAACGCCCTCAAGCTCCTCCAGCGGCTTGATCTGCATTCGAGTACTGAGGCACATGGAAAAATAAACTAAGCGACGGCCTCTCGGAAACTTCTAAGAAATCACGAGAACCGCTCTGTGCCGGCCCCGGCTAGCCCGGAGCCTATCTCTCCAAAAACCACCAAACCGTCAGGCCAGGCGACCCAGATGTTAAATCTTCTATAAGCTAGGTAGGCCCTTGGGATATTTTATATTTCCCCCCTTATTGGGTTGAAGGAGGATCATATTCCGGAGAATTTTTTCAGACGGTTGTTAAGGGCCATCCTAGTAAGCCATGCCGGGAAGAGACGCAAGGACACTTGTGAGCTGAGCCTGCAGCTGGGGGCCTTCACCAGCGTGGCGAGCTGCACAGCCTCACAGAACCTTTGTCATAGTGGGAAGTTTTTTTCGTTTTTTCAGGGCACTTAAACTCAAGGATGAATAAACATGTCCAATGTTAGTACTATCCCAACCATGAACTAGGAACATGCTGAGCCTCCTCATCTCTGGCAGCATCAATCCGGGCATCGAGAGCAGGCGCGAGTGAGGGTGTTTCTGTGGAACAGATGCGAGGGCTTTCGCCTCTTGAGGGCTTCACGAAACCCCAGGAGTCTCACAAGCTTTTGGATTTGAGGCTTCTGAAAGTTTTGGGCTCAGCCCAACAACTTTCAGAATCTGATTTTGGCATTGTTGTTGCCTAGCATCTCTGACCCCAACCTGTACTCCAGGTTCCAAGCAGTTGACTGCCCTACACATTCGACCCTTGCTAGAGTAACGCGGCCCTTTCTCCGCGGACCCCCAAGCCCTCCTTACGGCACTCAATGCCACCCTTTAGGGTTTAGGGTTTAGGGTCTGGGTCTAGGGTTTAGGCCGACGACCCCAATGCAGCAGACGGATTTCCAGCCTCAGCCTGCACATCCTGCGGCCCGTGCCAGGTCGTTTGGGATTCAGGTGGCCGTGAGGCCCCCGGTGGCTCGGTGGTGATCCTGATGATTTTTAGTAAGAAGCCCTAGAAGCGATAGCCCTTGAGCCAAGTTTTCAGGTTCTCAAGTCGGGTTTGGTGGGCTGTACAGGTTCTTGGCTTCCTGTCAGATTCAGGATGTGGCGGCCTGAGTGTCGTTTCAGGAGCTTGCTCTCAGAGAAACCGAGAACTTTTTCAACTTGGAGCTCTGAATCTCTGGCTGAGCTATGTATGCGCTCTTGAGTTCTCACTGCGCCCTGAGCGCCAAAGTCGAGCGTGGTCCTCGTGTGAGCGAACCCATGGCGAGTCCTCGACAAGTCTAAAGTCAATGTTTGTCGACCTTCATGTCACGCAATCCGCCAAGTGAAGAAGCGCTGCGAGCGTGGACAGGGCAAGAAAAGAGCTCTGGGCGGACTCCTGGGCCAAGACCACCCCCCACAGTTTGACTTAGGGGCTGGGTAGTTAACCTTTCTTTAACCTTTTTTGGTTATATATATATATATAATTTATATACCTATTACATCTGATCTTAAATGAAAGGTTAACCTTCGTTGGGCTAGGGTATTCAGCCCCCCCACAGCTTGTGACAAGGTCAGCGTGGCCATCCACGACTTCTGGTTCTTGGAGGCCTACGGTGCCGTCGGCACACCGGACACGCTGGTCGATCCCAACAGGCGCCCCCCATCAGTGACTTCTAGAGGGTCCAGAAACTCGTTCACGTCTACTGCTGGCTCTGCATACATCTTTCTGTGTACATTGCTTGTGCTGGCACCCTCTTTGTGCAAGCTCTGTGGTATGGAAGCGGGCTGTTCAATATCCCAGCATGGCTCACCGTTGCAGGGCCACAACGCAACTTAGACCTGCTGATCCTTGAACAGCCATGCCGCCTCCAGGTACGAGAGCCTGGACTTTGCGCTCGAGCCCCGACTGGCTCTGGCCGTGCTGAGCACTGCACGCGAGGAAGGGGCTGACGGAAGGACAGTGGCCCAGGCAGGCGGGTGGAACGCTCTTCCTGTGCTTCTCATGGTTTCATACAATAATAACAACAATGATAACAATGATAACAACAATCCTACTAATAATAGTCCTACTAGTAATAACAACAGTAATCATCATAGTAATGCTATTAATAGTTAAAATTAAACATAATAAACTTGAATATTTGTAAGAAGTATGTTAATCATATTAATAATGAACAAAATAAGCATAAACAAATTGAATATTTATAATACATGTATTAATCATGTTAATAATGAACATCATCATAATACTGATATGAGCCGAAGGTGCAGCTCTCGGCCCAACCTCCCGAGTCGCGGCGGACGTGGAGGTTCCGTGGACCAAGCTGAACCCTGAAGCTCCAATGGCTATGCGGGGGGCGGGTTTAGGGTTTAGGGTTTAGGGTTTAGGGGTTTAGGGTTTAGGGTTTAGGGTTTCGGGTTTAGGGTTTAGGGTTTAGGGTTTGTTTAGGGGGGTTCTGCCCCAAAAGCTGTCAAAAGCCCCCTTCAGCCGTGAATGCTTTGTCCCTGGCTGCCCCTGAGTCCTCAGCATTGTTTTTTTTTTACCATGCTATGAGAGAGTGAAGCGCTTTATCATCTTTGGGGCTTTTAAGGGTTTCAAAGGGTTTTTCAAAGGGTTCAACGGTTTGGGGGTTTGAGGGTTCCAAGCCCATGAGGTGCTTTTAGCCGTTTGAGGTGGTAGGACCTTCAGGGCTTCGGGGCAGCTTGCCACTCTTCAAGGCTCGCTACCTCCATGGTGGCAGCGCTGAGCTTCTCTCTGCCGGCCGTCCCTTCGCGATTGGCAGCTCGCTTCAGCAGACCGCGACGTTGAGCGGAACCCCTAAACCAGTCCCAAACCACCTCTTAGCCCTCCGAAGCCCTTAAGCTCGCAAGAAGTTCTTCGGGGAAGTGTGCCTCGGGAGCTGCATTGCATGTAGGCGACGTCAGCGGATGAATGCTTAAAGGGTTAGCGTTCGGAGCCTGCCAGGACCTAATCGTACCATACGGTTCCAAATAAAAAACCACCTCGCGAGCTGCACTCGCCGTAGACGCGTTGCTGCATCCGCGGCTTCAAACAAAACTCGCTTCGGAGAATCTGGCGTGTTTCCGCAGTCAAAGTTGGAGTAAAGTCCGGGTTTCAGGCTGACTGCAATTTCAGGATGCGAGTTCAAGGCAGTTTTTGCGGGTTTTTGGGTAGGCTTCCCCTATAGGTTATAGAGTTCTTAAGGGAGGGGGATCAAGGAGGGTAGGCCGAGGGAGCTTTAGCTTCGCTAAAAAACCCTAAGCCCTAAGCCCTAAGCCCTAAGCCCTAAGCCCTAAGCCCTAAGCCCTAAACCCTTAACCCTAAACCCTAAACCCTAAACCCTAAACCCAGGTCAACGCCTCCCTGCGGGTCTCCGTGGAGATCGACTGGGTGATCCTGAGGTGTTCCCTTCCGCCCCGGCCGTTTCATGCTGGCAGCCTCCCCCCAGGAGCCTCCGAAGGCGGTGTAGAAAGTACAAGCTTGCTTAAGAGCCCCGAACATACTCTTCCTCTTCAAGGGTAACATAGGGATTATGTTTTTTTGTGTATTCTTTTCGGGGGTTCTTAAGCAAATAGTAGAGCAGGGTTTTCGGGTTCCGGGATGTTGCGGGTGGCCGGTGCTCGACATGGCCAGTGGTCCTGCGTATAAGTCTGGTCACCCGTCCGGTCACCCTAAACCCTAAACCCTAAACCATAAACCCTAAACCCTAAACCCCCCTAAACCCTAAACCCTAAACCCTAAACCCTAAACCCTAAACCCTAAACCCTAAACCCTAAACCCTAAACCCTAAACCCTAAACCCTAAACCCTAGACCCTAACCCTTAACCCTCACTTCCCCAGCAAGTCATAAGCCGAAGAACAGGAGCGCAGTGCGTCGATTCCTTGAGTTCCGTGGCAGCGCGGCAGCTGCGGCAGACGGAGGCGGTGATCAGCATCGATGACCTGATCCCTCTCAGGGTACGCGCCTTAGGAATTCTGGGAGGGTCAAGATCTGAGTTGTTGTGGGAGGTCGGGGTTCCGGAACCTCTGCGGCTTTGAGAATTGTTGAGGTTGAGGCGCCTTGGGTTTGAGGGTTTATTGGGGGGGTTTAGGGTTTAGGGGTTTAGGGTTTAGGGTTTAGGGTTTAGGGTTTAGGGTCTAGGGCTTTCGATGTCTGGGACTCGGGGCTCGGCCTTGGGATCTCAAGTTGCGCTCACGGACGCGGGACCCGTGGGCTCCCCCCTGTGCAGAGGAACTCTGTTGCTACACGTGTGGTCGTTTGCCGTGGCGAGGGTTTAGGGTTTGGGGTTTAGGGTTTAAGGTTTAGGGTTTGGGGTTTAGGGTTTAAGGTTTAGGGTTCAGGGTTTAGGGTTTAGGGGGATGTTTAGTCTTGTTTCTAACTGGCCAAGCGCATCTTCGACCCTTATCATGTTCGGGAAAGAGCAAGTGCAAGAACCTGACGGCATGAGAGGCAGGTATCTACAACTTCTCCCTGCTCCTCGTTACGAGCTCGGAAACGCCGCACATCGATGCTGCTTGGCAAAAAGGAGGGAGACCTGTCGCACAAAGGACATGTCGTGGCACGTGTTCGCACGCACTCGAGCCCTGAATGCCTGCCGTGATGCGAAGGCGTTTGCCTGGCCCCGTGGGAGCTCTTGGTCACTCAGCCTGGGATCTGGATCTTTGGACTTCAGGACCTGGAGTTTGCGTTCCATTGTGTTTTTGGGGATTTAGACGTTATGGGTGCTTATGCAAATTCAGCTTCATGTCTTCATGTTTCTATGCGATCTTAGAGAGTCGAGCTGGAGTGCAAGTTTAGCAGACATCCCAGAGCAAATCTGACCATGCACCTCTTGGAGCGCGCCCCTGAAGCGCGGATGCTGGCCTGACATCCGTGACCGTCCACTGCCAAACTGCAAGCGCAAAACCAAGCACAGGCTCCCTGCTCGCCCACGATTTCCGCCCACGCCATCCGAGTTAAGAATGAGGTTAGTGGGTCAGAGGCACCCAATTACCAGAACACGTTCACATTTTTCCTCATCAACTGGCCACCGAGCAATCTGGCAGTGGGGGAGACGCACCGAAGTGATGGCACCAGATGCACTCAAAAGTTGCGGTGCCCCCCACCCTCTGCCCTGCGATCAAAAAGTGAAGGTAGGTCTTAAAGGGTTTTTGGTGCACATACCTTGACAGGAATTATAGTAGTATAGGGCATATAACCCCCCCCCCCGGTTTAGGTCTCAACTCAAAAAGAAGGCACAAAGCCCAACTCACCCTAAACCCTAAACCCTGAACCCTAAACCCTAAACCCTAAACACTAAACCCTAAACCCTAAACCCTAAACCCTAAACCCTAAACCCTAAACCCTAAACCCTAAACCCTAAACTCAACTTGGGCGTCAGGACGACCATCACCGCCGCCCCGGCCTTTGAGGGCGCCAACCTCCCGGCCCTGCCGCTCCCGGCCCCTTCGCCTGGGGGACGTGGGGAGTTTCTACGAATTTGCTTAAGAACCCCCAAGAAATACAAAGAGATTCTTCCTTATTGAGGGTAAATTGTGGACTATTGTTTTTTTATTCTTTTGGGGCTGTCTTAAGCGAATAGAGGTTTGGAGTTGTGAGGCTTGAGGACGAGGTCGTCCCATGTCCTGCTTGTGGTGTGGGAGCTTGTATATGTAAGGGACGGGCGTAAACCAAAGATAGGATTGGGAATTTTGGGTGAAGTGTTGCTTGGGCTTGAAGGCCGCAGAGGTGGTGGCGATTTCTCACGGTTCCGGCGTCATCCGAGGGTTTCCGGCATCAGGGGTACCTTGTTGGGGTCCTTAGTATAAAGGAATCCTACTATCTGAAGGGGGTCTATATTAGGGGCCCCTTGTATTCGTAAAGCCCCATCTTGTCAGGACCTGGGCGTGACGACGACCACATCTCTCACCAACGACTTGGCGACGATCTATCTCCTGGTCCCCCCGGCTTTCTAACGAAGCAAAGTGGGGGGAGGGTTTAGGGTTTAGGGTTTTGGGTTTAGGGTTTAGGGTTTAGGGTTTAGGGTTTCCGAGAGTAGGGGGCACCCTGTTTGGGGGCCACTTTCAGGGTATTCTTTTCCTTTACGTTTTGAATGCCCAAGTCGTACCGAATCAGTGCAGATGTCGATTGTTGCCGGCAAGACGGGAAAGTCTTTTGGTGGTGGCACTGATCGACGTTTAGCGTAGGTGGTCACGAGTTCACGGTAAAGATGATCTCCCCTTCGATAACCGCTAGGTTTCCGTGCCGATGAGAGTTGCCTTGCCCATGTCCTTCGAGATCCGGCCGCCTCAGGCCGTTTGGGGGGTTCAGGGTTCAGGGTTTAGGGTTTAGGGTTTAGGGTTCAAGGTTTAGGGTTTAGGGTTTTGGGGTTTAGGGTTTGCACTTTTGGTGGCCAGGCAGAGTATTCAATCCTCACGGTCCTAACGCACTCGTTGCTCTCGGCCGTGCACATGTGCAACTCCCTGTAAGACAAGACTCTTCTGTTACTAAAACAACTCTTGCAGCACTCAACGGCCAACCCTAAACCCTAAACCCTAAACCCTACACCCTCTGGAGGGTTTCCGCTTCGACACGGCACCGTCACCACTGCACCCAGCTCTCCTGGAGACTGCTTTCAGCCACCGGAAGGAGGTTTAGCATTTTTTGTAAAAGAGACGTTTGGGGTTTAGGGTTTGGGGTTTAGGGTTTGGGGTTTAGGGTCTACGGTTTAGGGCTTACATTCACTCTGTATGGGCCAGTCACTACACGTAGCATAAAACAGAAACCCAGTCCAACGCAACAAGAATCCTTCCACAACTTTTCCAACAGCTGCTGTGAAACCTCTACCCCCAAAACATCCAATGCATTGTGGGCCCGGGGCCCAGGCAATCCTTTCCATTCAGAGCGGAACTGGCAACCTGGGCGGCAGAGTGTTCAGGACCCTGAGCGGGTCCCCTGCCCTTTCTTTGAGCTGATGATACCTGGGCATGTTTATCAAGGGATGTCCCCTCTTTGAGCAATCCTGAAGTTTAAACCCTAAACCCTAAACCCTGAACCCTAAACCCTAAACCCTAAACCCTAAACCCTAAACCCTGAACCCTGAACCCTGAACCCTGAACCCTAAACCCTAAACCCTTAACCCTTAACCCTGAACCCTCCAACAGCACGCCAAGGATCGAGGATCCTCCCTACCGGGACCTCTCTACAAGGGTCAGCGGCCGAGAGAGCCTCTGCGCCTCGCTGGAGGACCTGCAACCCGGGCCATGATCTCCCCCCGAAGCCTACACTTTGGGTTTGGGGTTTAGGGTTTAGGGTTTAGATAGGGTTTAGGGTCCAGGGTTCAGGGTAGGCTGATGTTTCTCGATGCCGACCAGAATGCTCTAACGCAGAGCCCGTCCCTTCCCTCCACACCCAACCACTCAACCCAATTGACTGTTGCGGGTGTCAACTTTTTTGGGGATCAGGGGTGTGCATGCAGGCCCGATCAGCCTAGATCGGCCTGCGTGGTCTCGCTGAGCGCTCGACGGCGCCCACTCACCTCTAGAGTGAGAGGGGGTGGGCAGGTTTAGGGTTTAGGGTTTAGGGTTTAGGGTTTAGGGTTTAGGGTTTAGGGTTTAGGGTTTAGGGTTTAGGGTTTAGGGTTTAGGGTTTAGGGCATAGGGTTTAGGGTTTAGGGCTTAGGGTTTAGGGTTTAGCCGCGCAGCCCAGACCTTACACTCTCTCCCCAATCGCTTCGGGTTTAGGGTTGAGGGTTTAATCTTCTGGCCACAGGGCGACCTGAGCGCCTCGGTTTTTGCGGCGTGTGCACCGGACCGCTACACATCGCTGCCGCGAGCACAGGTCACCTGTTATGTGGTTCAAGGCCAGGTGGGGTCAAGGGTGTTTAGCTCAGGGCTTTCCATAAAGTTCTGGGTCGGGTTCAAAAAGCTTCGTGACTTCGCGTTTCGAGGCTCAACGGTGAAAGACCTGCAGCCCCGCAGGTTTTAAAAGAGCTTCGACGTTTGGGCTCTCATGCTTGTATGGTTCCTTACGCAGTTCCCTGTCTGAAAGGCAAGGTGGTGATGGACATGGAGCCCGAAGGCGCCCACTGCCAGAGCTGCGCGCAGAGGGCCTGGCTGCGCCCCGGGCAGTATCAGCTGGTCCTGCGCGGGTTTAACCCGCCAGTCGTCCCGATGCTGGGTAGCATGAAGGAAGGTTGTACACCTATACAAGAGTTGACAAAAGCCGCTCCTTAAAAGGCATAATATGAACCGTGAGCCAATATCGACCAAGGATGGTCTATGAGGAGGAGCTGCCGCAACACTCCTGGAGGGTCACGCTTTTGCGCCGTGGCGCGAGCCGCGTGCCAGGCTTGAACGCGACTTTCTCTCCTGTTGCCTTTGGCAGCGTTCCTAACTTTGCCCTGGATGCAACTGGGCCCTCTCTTGGCAAAGTTTTGCTGCGCAATCACTGAAAATGAATTTGTCATGTTTTTGGGGAGTGACCATCCCTTCAGCAGATAGTATAGGGGTCGGAATGATTACTAGTAATATTCCCTTATGGTGCCTTTATCGTTCTACGAGGGTAACACCCCCCCCAAAAAAAATCCTTGTTCCAATTATTCACGCTCTAAACCCTAAACCCTAGACCCTAGACCCTAGACCCTAGACCCTAGACCCTACACCCTAGACCCTAGACCCTAGACCCTAGACCCTAGACCCTACACCCTAGACCCTAGACCCTAGACCCTAGACCCTAGACCCTAGACCCTAGACCCTAGACCCTAGACCCTAGACCCTAGACCCTAGACCCTAGACCCTAGACCCTAGACCCTAGACCCTAGACCCTACCCTAAATCCTAAACCCTAAACGCTAAACCCTGCGCCCCCCCCCAGGAAAGCGCGAGTGGTACCAGCATCTGGCGAGGGCGCACGTTTCCGCAGGAGGTGGACCAAGTGGGCCCCGCCGTGGTGGCAGATGATCGCCTGAGCTCTACAAGGCGGTTTAGGGAGTCTAGGGCCTAGGGCTTAGGTTTAGGGTTTAGGGTTTAGGGTTTAGGGTTTGGGGTTTAGGGTTTAGGGTTTAGGGTTTAGGGTTTAGGGTTTAGGGTTTAGGGTTTAGGGGATTGTGTTTTAGTTTTTGTAGTTCGAGCTTAGATTCACGACACCTTGACAGGGCTATCCCATGCTTGACTCATAGACAGCTTTGAACGAAGACGTAGCTCGGCCCAGCCAGGTACATCGACCTCACGTGACTTCTAGCTGCAGAGCGGATGCCTGATTCGATGCTGTATGGCACAAGCTTTGGCTCGCCTTTTGATCCGGGTCGACCCTTTGGAAGGAGAAGTGTGACCCAGAAAGCTCAACGAGAAGGTGGCCACCAAAAGCAAAGGGCAGTCATATATTGAGAAGCCCCCCTTTTGGCCCTGAAGCCACTTGGCCTGGAGTCCCTGGAGCAGGAGTGCGCTCTTTTCGGCCATCTCCTGGCCCGCCATTGCCCTAGCACTCCATCATCAACTGCAGGGAGCTTGTTATGGACGTCCACTTCGACGAGCTTGCGCTAGTGCGTTAGGGGCGATGGACACAACGTGTGCCCTATAGTGCCAAAAGGGGGTACAGTGGCCCAGACACGAAGGCCAGAGGTGTCCGCGAAGAAAAGGCTTTTTGCACGCTTTCGGAGCAGATCGTACAGCCCGCAGGACAGGCAAAGTATCTGGCGGCTCTCGTTGAGGACCGGCCCATGACAGTTGCGACTACAACAGATTCAGGAGTTCGGGCACGACAGCTTTCTGCACGTCTGGGCAAGACGGCTGGTTGCTGATGTCAAGGCCGGGGCTGGTTATTCGAGAGCCTGGCTGTCTTGCAGTCTTTGCTCCAACAGAACTGGAAACAAAATGACGACGGCCAAATTACAATGATGAGCTACTGGGAATGAGCGATGAAACCCCCACCGGGTGCCGGGGCGCCCGCAACGAGTCCGGCCGGGGTTTGCTGAACAACAGAAACCAAAATACGGGAAATGCTCAGGATGTAACCTGCAGTCCTCCAACATCACCAGGCCGTGCGCACCAGGCGCAATGGATTGCGAGCAATGTCTGGTACTCGTACGACCTGCAAAAGTCGATTCAAAGTCTGCCTGTGAACCAGACTGGATGCAGGATGACGAGTTTGCAGACTGGACGGTTTTACACACGGACTGCGACGAGACGCGATGAGTTTCTTGACCTTCAGCTGGAGGAAGGCACAGAGAATCTTGTAGTCTTGCAGGACCCTTTGACGGCCAGCTCATTGCCGGAGTCGCCTCCAGCTTCGCAGCTGTTTCGCAATGGGGAATCTTAGTATTCTTTGCCCCATCCAGTTTTGTTTCAATCGACCATGGCATGGTGTTAAAGAGCGTGTACACCAAAGGAAGACATGGGCGACGATGACGCATGAGGCCATGCGCTCAGAGACCTGGTTTGGATGCGAAGACCACTCAGCTGCCCATGTCCCGCGATCCCTGTGAGAGCATGCTGAAGCAATACATGTCTCATGGGCACTCAAGGCGCTTTCTGCGTTGGGCAATGCTTAGCGGCTTGGCAGAAGATCAGGAATGCAAATGACTTATAACTGATAGCCGTACGGATGTGCAGCCCAATTTGCAGTGTCACGCGTTGGGCCAACACGGCCACATAATTTGCGTGCGATTCGTTCGACTGTTTCAAAGATACATTATCAGCACCTTCTGACGTTTGCATGAGCATGAGACGCTCTCAACTTCAACACACCGCATGCTTCCGCTGGTTTCCGTCGCATGCCGAGAAGCGCCCAGTGGAGGCGTACCTGGAAGATGAATTCTGGACATTTGTCTAAACCTCACTGAAGGTGAGAACGCACAACGCACGATATAATGGAGAGGGGTCTGGCGCTGGGAGAAAGATGTTCGTCGAGTCGTGGAGGAGAGGGCGCAGCGCGTGCCGAGACAGAAGGTCTGTATGCGTCCGGGAAGGCTCAACACCCCAAATTGGGCACCCATCAACCAGAGGATGGGGGATTCGGATGGACCCGTCGCCTCAATGTGTGCGCTGCAACAGATGTGAGTCAGCGCCGAGCGCGTCTAAGACCCTAAGAGTCCAGATCTGGGAGATGGGAGCACAGCCGCCCACGGGCTTCGAAGCACTTGCTAAAAGCATCGGGCCTGACAATTGCGAGGGGGCTACGCTCTACAGATTCACGGTCTCTTTTGCCTGTGTCACATGCCATGCGGGACCGCAGGTATCTCGTTTCTTGAGGAGGCCAAGGAAAAAGGACACAAGCTCCTGGGTGGCCAATGATGTAGCACGACAGCACATTTTTCACACGAGAGGCAGCCGAGCGCAACTACCGAGACATCACTTTTTAAGGCTGCTACCATGTAATCCGCGTAGTGCAAGTGTCCTCACAGAACCATTGAGAACCCCGAATCCTCAGTTTGAAATTGTTCCCTAAACCCTAAGCCCTAAGCCCTTAACCCTAGACCCTCCAACCCTTGCGGTCATAATTTGCCTGGGCGTGGATCGCTCTTTAAGGCTTGAGAAGGTCCCGGAGAGCCCCAAACGGCCTGAACCCAGAATTTCTGGCCCAGAATTGTTCCGCCCTATACCCCCCAAACCCTGAACCCTGGAACCCCGGAACCCTGGAACCCTAAACCCTAAATCCCAGCTGGAACTGGAGGTGAGATTTGGGGCAGCATATGGTTCGGGATTGCCACAAATGCCGGACGCTTCCCATTCCCCCCTGCCACTACCAGACCCTCCCCAAATTCAGGGTTTCGGCTTTAGGGTTTAGGGTTCACCCACTGAACCCCCCCAAAAAACCCCCGATTGCGTCCGCAGCCGGCTGCTGGGGGGGGAAGACCTTGGTGAGTCCATGGGACCCTGGTCGCCTCTTGGGCTCTTCTTTGGAACATGCTTTTGTTTGGCTTCTTTCCTGGCGAGAATTCAGACAGGGGTCGGTTCGTCTGCTTTGACTGCGGCTCCCAAGCAACCCAAAAGATGGACTCAACAGCCAGCTCCCCCCAAAGCTTAGGGCCACAGCAGCAGATCAGGTTTCAGGATGCAGCCTCGGACCACCACCTGCCCCGCGCCCCAGTTCGGTTTCCGCAAGGGGGCGGGGCGGGTTGAGGCGGGTTGAGGCTTCAAGGGGCTTTGGTTGGTTTGGGTTTCAGGCTGCACTTGACAGTTTGGGGTTTAGGGCCTAGGGCGCAGGGCGTGGAGTGTCTGCTTCGTTGCTGAAACCAGGGGTCGAGGCAGGTCTAAGCAGTGCGCGCTGCATAGCACCAAAACGAAAAGGCAGGCATGCACGTGTGTAAAGGATGCATTTTGGGTTTGGGTACCATGTTTGTTGGATATCTGAAGACGATGACGGTCTTGTGCGTGTGAAACATGCCATGAAGGCTGGATGGATGAGTGATTATTGATGTCGCTTCACTTCAGCATACGCAGCTCAAGAGCTCTATTGTAGCTGACCAAGCAGTTTTTGTTCCTTTTGCATAGCTTTTCCCGCTACACGCAGCAGGGGTCATACAGGCACTGCACCACAACACAGGAAACTGGTTTGGCGGACTTTGTGGATAGTACAGGTCCTGCGAGAAGATAAAGGCATTGTGGGCGGGCTCTCCCGGACGATCTTCCTGATCAAGTGCGCCCAATGAACAAGAGTTCTTCTAACATCTTCTCAGGTCTTCTGGTGTCCTTTCACCTCTGCCTTTCAAGGAGACCCTCTCAACACCAGGTTTGTTGCACACCCTCTCAACACCAGGTTTATTGCACATTTGTTCTGCATGGCAAAGGTTGGGTGCCATCGGAAACCAGCCTCAAGCGGGACAGTTTCAATGATATTGCCGCGATCCCAGTGACCCCCAGATGGGGTGCTGAGAGCTTTGATTTGAAAGCCTGCCTTGGCGTTTTGAGAGACCCACCTCTGGTCGGTTAGGGTTTAGGGTTTAGGCTTCAGGGTTCAGGGTTCAGGGTTTAGGGTTTGCTAGGTGGATCCCCGAGGCGGAAATCCTCACTCAATCCGCCATTATCATAAAGACGCACAAACACGATCAATCTTCGTCATGGTTCGGACTTGCATGAAGGGGTGCTGTTCGCGCGTGCGAGTGTCTCCACAGCCGTCCTTCAGCACTCTTCTTGTGTGTGCGTGCGGAACTAAACCCTAAACCCTAAACCCTAAACCCTAAACCCTAAACCCTAAACCCTAAACCCTAAACCCTAAACCCTAAACCCTAAACCCTAAACCCTAAACCCTCCCTGGAACTTACTCCCCTTCCAGGTCTTGCACAAGGCAACAAATGCCCCGCTGCTGCTGATGCCCACCCGGCTCGGTTAACCCTGGGGTGAAAATTGCAAAAGGGGTTTAGGGTTTAGGGTTTAGGGTTTGGGGTTTGGGGTTTAGGGTTTAGGGTTTGCACTCCGGGTTTGGGGATGGACCGTTGGCTTTCGATTCTGGATTTGAAGGAAGTAACTTCGCAAGCTTCCGCAAGGGCCTGAACATGAGTCAGAGGCCCCCGACACCTGAAGCGTCAATCAGAGGCCTCAGTGACTTGCGCTACCCTAAACCCTAAACCCTAAACCCTAAACCCTAAACCCTAAACCCTAAACCCTAAACCCTAAACCCTAAACCCTAAACCCTAAACCCTAAACCCTAAACCCTAAACCCTAAACCCTAAACCCTAAAGCCTATGGCGGCAGCAAAATCCAGAGAAGGTTGGTTCCCAGAAGCCGCTGTAAGCCTACCAACTTGTGGCGACGAGGCCCCAAGCTCTTAGTGGTACCCTTTTCCCCTTTTTGGTTCAAGGTTCCCTGAAAAAGTAACCCAAACAAGGGTGCCCTTATCACAATATGGTTGCTGGGCTGCTAAGGAGCATGAGCCCGTAACCTTAAAATCCCACACTCGAGGAGTAGAAGCCGTTCCCTGCTCCTGACTTTGACTTCCTTTGCCTGGTGGGGTGTTCAGCGCTCAGCAGTGCTTGATTTAGGAACCCGAGCCCAAAACCCTAAACCCTAAGCCCTCAAACCCGAAGCCCTAAATCCTAAGCCTAAACCCTTATGATGTAGGATTTGCGGAGTCCCAAATCCCCCCCGCCCCCACCCCCACCCCCGCCCCGCCGGCAAAGCTCGCTGCAGGAAGGCCAACATTATGGGCAGGCCTGGGCTGCTGGGGTTTAGGGTCTTAGGGTTTTAGGGTTTTAGGGTGTTGGGGTTTTGGGGTTTTTGGGGTTTAGACCTGAGGT